CGAATTTTCCTACACCTTTGGTGTCTGGCAGTGGTTGAGGACACCTGGGATGGTGGCTGAAGCTCTAATGAGGAGCAGCAGGACAACTCTCACCAGCAGGTCTGCTAGCAGAGAGCCATGGCACTGGGCTCTGATGTAAAGCACAGCTGCACCCACCAAAATGGCTCCTTGCACCGCCTCTGCCTCTTAGGTCCTGTCCAAGCACTTTACTGACAGAAGCAGTGTGTCCAGCAGCTCCACAGACCTCAGGCAGCTCTCAGAGGACGAGCTAAATTAGCTTCACCTCCTACCTCATGAACAATTCCCGGCTATGCTCTAACCTTGTCGCTAATGATGATGTAAGAAACTTTAATAAGAGTCTGATTTGCACGTACCAGGTTTAACTTTTTGGAGACAGCTGTTCGAAGAGTCCTTTGGTGACAGACACAGGCAGGGTCCTCTGGGGCCTTGAAGAACAAAAACGTCCACAGAAGCACTTCTGTGGTGGTGGCTTGGCAAATATGGACAGTGATGATGGGACAATTTATTGCTTCTCTTAGCCTAATCTTTGTTATTTTGTTTGCAAAAGGGAGTCTGAGCAGTTATAAATGTATATCATATTGACATCAGCTATGCTGCATAAAAGCCTCACTGTAAACAGGTCTCCTCCTCCTTTCAAGCAGCTTTTTGGCCACCCTTGCTTTCACACAGCAGGAGCTGCCCAGTCAGCCGTGTTGGCTTCACACGTTGCTCAGAGGTGGGCCCAACAGGTCAAGTCCCCCTTGCTGCTCCCCACAAAAAAAAGAGAGGAACAGACCCTGATAGAGCCTTTAGGCATATCCACCTCATCATATCATCTTCATGCCTCCTACAACTAGAGCTTTTTTTCTGTTTTTATGCTGAGCCCATAGGCTATGAGTGCAAATCACTCCTTCGTCCTTGGCCTCAACACCACAGGAGAGCAGCCCACGTGCAGCTGCTCCACAGCCTCTACCCTTTCAGCACCAGTGGGAGGGAAAAGCGTGGCTGGGAAAAGGGAAGACCCTTGCACTTCCACCAGTCTGCATGCAAGCATGAACAGATCTGTATTGAGGCAGGGAGCACCCACAGCTTAAAGGACAGGAAGAGGTCTGAGGGAATCCAAAGCTGGCAGCTGCAGTACATGCACTGCTTGGGACTGCAGTTGGGGCGCACTGTGCCACCCCAAATCTCTCTCAGCACCAGCCAAGAGCTGTGGTCTCACATGAAGGAGGCAAGGACTCCACTCCACCTGCTTCCAGGTCTGTCTCTCCCAGTGCCTTTTGCTTCACAAAGCCGGATATGCCTTTAAATTCTTACAGTGCAACAATCTGCTCCTCTCCATCCGTAAAAGGCAACGATTCCCAAGCGTAAGAGTAGCTGGGCTGCCTTTGTCCAAGTTAGAAGGGGGGTATTGACAAAGTGTGTGTAATTATGCAAACATAAGCCTATTTTATCCTTTGGAGTAGCTCAAAGTTTTAGCTACTTAGTGTAAAGCACATAGCTATGAATAAAAATCTTTTTTTCATTAATGCTTGTTTAGGTTAAAGCCCTAGGATTAGCAGTGCTCTAAGTATTTTAAGATAGTATTTTATTAACAATTATAAATTTAAACTATTTGATCTAAATTCAGTTTTGCTTTCATTTATTGCTCCATGACCAGAGTCCGGATGCAGGTTCAAAGTCAGAAAATTTGTAGCAAATCTGTCCAGGTGTGGTGGGAAATCTGAACTGTCCTGCAAGAAGTAGAAAACTGTCCCTGCAAGTTGTAGTAGAAGTGTTCAAAGTCAGAAGATTTGCAGCGAATCTGTCCCATGTGTGGTCGGAAATCTAAACTGTCCCTGCAAGAAGTAGAGAAGGGTTATATGGGCACAGAAAATAACTGATGCACTCTCACATACACATACCTGTACTTATCTGTAGACAACCTGATCCTTGCAGGCTGAGAGCATTGCTCACCTAGTGACAGTACTGAAGTAAATAAAAGCTAACTACAGAAAGTTGAGATTTTGGAAAAATATCTATCAGTTCTGGTTTGATACACACAGCTCTCTGACCTATAAACATAAGTACTTAAGTGTGTGTACATATGCATGTACATAGGCTTACTTTCATAAGATCCTCCTCTTCAGCCAGCTGACCACAGGGAAATCTGTATTTCGAGGAGTTGAGTGTGCTGCCCCTCTTTTTTTGCCCTTATCCTTTCAAACTTTCCTGAAGGTTTCAGCAGGGCACCTGAAACAGCTGACTTTTTCAGAGCAGCTCAGAACCAGTCTGATGCAAGGCCTTGTGTTCCTGACAGGCAAGGAAACAGTTAAGGAGTTATCTCTGTCTGTGGTATGGCAATGGAAACTCTTAAGCAGTAAAATCCATTACGAACTACCCAGAGAAGTTCCAGGGAACAGAATTTGTCCGGGCCGAACAACGAAAGACGAGCGCTTATCTTTTTGTGGAACATCCGTATGAAAGATGTGGCATTCTTTAAATATCTTGATCCTCAGTTGTTAGCAGGACTATTCATCCTACACCCTACTTCTGTACACAGGAAGGGAAGAGCTCATAGCAGAAGAATTTTCTTTTGGTGGTGGGAACAACTGCACGATGATTATTCCCCTGCTCCATGTGGGATTCCATCGGAGATCAAGGATGCCCTGGCAAGTGTTGGGGCATGACCACATGTTTGTGGGAGTCTCTCAGCTTTTATTAATTAGATTCCTGACAATGCAATAAAACCCTGTAGCAGAAAGCCACACTGAGCATTCCTGAATCATATGAAATCACTCACCATTTTATCTACAGGTTTTGAATTACAATCTCAACTTCTCATCAGAAAAAAAGCCCCAAAAGCCTAAAAAAACCCCAATAGTGCATTTGGGCAGAACTGTGCAGTGTACAGAAGCATTCTTTCAATTACACAGCATCTTACAGAACACACATACTGTAACAAAAAGCAGAGCAGATACCTTTTCTGAGAAGGCAGTGCCCAGACAAAACCAGATGTTTCACCTCCATTATTAGAGGAACAGCTTTAACTGGACAAAAAAAGAAAAAAATTCCTGAACACTCAAAGATAGTTTAAGAGAAAAATAAAAGTACATTTGTAAACAACTTTAAAACAAGAGCCTTATGAAAATAATAAAGGTCACTGAAAGTTAAAGTGTTAAACTCTTCTTAGTCCAAACTGCTATATGCTACCCATGCAGGTTTGGTGGGTTTTTTTATGACACACAGATTTTGCCCCACAGAACACTTCACTGAGAAATCTGGGCAAATACTTCTTAAAATCTTGATGAAATTAAGGGAAAATTTGAAGACAGAAGGTCAAACTCCAAACTCCCTTTTTAAGTTACAAGAGCAATATAACTGAACTGTTGAATGGAGTCATGTTGCACAGTCCATGAAAGCATCGTACTTATTTTACAATCTGAGACCCCTTTTAACGTAAACCCTAAAAAGTCACAAGAAACTCTTAGAACAGATACTTGTATTATGTACCATTAAGTTAGCAACAAGTCCACTTTCCTTATTCAAACTTTTCCATAAAGTAACTTTTCATACACAATACTGATTTACTTTAAGAGAATCTCTTTTATGACAAGGCAAACTGTAAAACCTGTCCTGGGGAATGATTCTGTGTATGTAGTTATCAACCATGAGTCTGAAGTTGAGCATTAGTATTTATGTTGCTCTGCTTCATGCTTCAGCATCTGTTAAGCAAGCTGCTGGTCACCCAGTATGTCCATTTTGGTAGATGGACAGATGTATGTGAACAGCAATGCTCTGGATAACTTGTGCTATTCCTAATACTTCAATTATTTTCTCTGCCAATTACATTTTGCTATAAATACGTGTGCCCTTAAGTTGATCCCAATATCAGTTTCAGCCAACTAATCAAATTATCTGCTAAGGTTTTGGGAATGATAACCCTTCCTTTATTTAAATAAAATGAGGGAAGGGTTTCTAACTCCCAACAATAGATTTATTTTCAAGACAGGATGACACTGAACTGTTCATCATCTTTGTTGTTCACAGATAAGCACAATTGTATTTATGTTTGTTATCAGGTAGGCAGGAAGGGGAAGAGAAAATACTGTGAGGTTTTCACCATTAATGTTTTTCCAATTTCTGCTCATGGGCTCTTATGAATAATTATTCATTTGAAATAAGCATAAGTCAAATTTCAGATTACTTTTCTTGTATTTTGAGGGCTCAGCAGCTAAACTTCCATTTTCTATTTTCCTTTTGCAAAAGACTGTTATTAATACCCTGCCTGCAATTGAGTACATCACGAGCTGATGTAAGGAATAATCTCCCATCGTATCTTGAAGTGCCTCATTTTTGCACCACTTAAAAGTTAATTCATAATCCAAATAATCAATCTGCAATGTAAACAAGTAGTTATTTTCTCCCATGTAATGATGGTAAATAATGACACTGATCATTACATATTCTGCTCCAGTTCATTAAATGCAATTCTTCAGTCACAAAGGCAGCAGGCATTCTGTGATGGACTTCATTTGAACTGCTTTTGAGTGAGTGGAATAACTGAGATTCCTGATGGAGATCTAAGCCATTTCCCTCATTTTCTTAATAGCTTCTGCTATTTCCATACTCAACTCCATTTCATGATTGGCTATTTTAAATAAATTCATTTCCCCAAAACCTGCTCTCTCTATCCAAAACAAACTTACTTACACTTATGGTAAATGCTTTTCAGTAAGTAAGTTGTAAAAAAAAAAAGAAAAATAATATAATGCAAGAAGTGGTATGAAGGGAGTAAGAATTTTAAATTCTGTATTAATTTGCTTTCTGAATTTCTTTACAAAAAGATGCTACAGGGACAAAAGCTTTAAAGGTTTAAAACACACTTTCACACATTTTTAATTCTTTCTCTCTTTTATACAAGGGACCTACTTTGCCCAGTGAAACACCTTCATAACTTTGCCCAGCAACTAGATGAAATTGCATGCCATTCCCCCCAAGAAAGTACAGAAAATACAGCCTTTTACTTCAAATATTTTATGAATGCAAGAATACAAGAAACGTATTAGTCAAAACACTGGGCTATCAAGCACTGAACCAAAGATGCTGGCATCAGTTTGCCTACCATTTTGCATGTGGAAAAAATACACTACATCTACAGGCAAGAGGCATCACATCATGAATTACTGCAGGTCAGCCAGCATCACCTCTGCAGCTTGATGCATGTTGAAGTCCTGAAAATAATCATCATATGAATAGTTTGAGATGAGTCACTGGAACAAAACCATTCTCAAACAGGGAAGTTTTTGTTTTGCTCTTATTGAGGTAACACCAGAAACTAAAACCAAGATCTTACAATTCAGCAGCCACTTTGCTAGGCTAGCCTTCACACAGGGAGCATGCACAGAGCCACTGTTCTTGCTTTAAACTGAGGGCTGTTGGTTAATTCAAGTCACTGTTTTCTCACCTTATTCAATTAACCTGTTGAACTGGACATCCACCATAGGAAAAAGAAAATTAAATGATCTTAAGTGTAGCAGACAAATACAGATCACACCAAGAAGCTAACACTCATGAGTTGTCATAATAAGGGAAAATAGTAACAATAAAAAAAGAAAAAAAAAAAAAAAGGAAAAGAAATTATCAGTCTTTTCTGTGCATATTTTTCATTTGAAAGGTCCCAGGAAATCATGATGTGCCAGGCCGTTTCTGTTGCTGATTTCTGATGACCTCTAATTGTTTTTTGCATTGCTGATAGTAAGTTGAGAGACTTTTGTTTTCATCTAAAAGCTTTTTATGTTCTTGTACCAGTCGAGATGTGTTTTGCTGGTCTTTTTCATCCTGGTCCAGTTCTGCTATTAGCTCTTGTCTAAGAGAAAAAAAACAACAAGTAATTGTCATTTATAATCTACTGGTGTGTAGGTGACTTCATGTGTTTCAAATTAGTATTTGATTATCTGTCTGAGCTCATGGCTGGTGAAACAATGAGAAAAAAAGTTGATAAAAAAAAATCTTAATTTACTGTCTAGGGAAAAATTATCTTCCAAATAAAAATCACATTTAAACTTTAAAATACCTGCAAGTCACACCCTCACTCTCTAAAACTGTCCTTTATATAATAGCTTTTTGACATTGTTCTGCAGGTCACAGTAAAACATCTAAGGATCCACACAAAATTTCATATATACATTCAACTTTAATTTTGCTTAGCAATATTTACATGTAAAAGCTGAAAAGGTAACTTAGAAGGCAAAATAGCAATAATTCCGGTACCTTATCTTAGTGAAGTGCTGTTTTCTATTTGGACTTGAACTTCTTAAAGCAGTGGAAAAGCAGAATCAAGCAAATTATTATTTTAACTGTCATTTCACTTAATTTATGCTGTAAGTGTTCACTGTGTTTTTAAACAAATTTTAGAGGAACAAACACACTGATAAACTTGCTATTAATTAATCTGCAAAACTGATGTAGCAGTTTGTTTTACTATTTGTTTATGAAATGAAAAGAAGGCAAGCTGCCAGCAATATCTTAGCAGGAAAACAGTAGAGGATAAAGTTCATGTTAATTAACTGTTGCCATATGGTCTGAAATTACAGTTAAAGAAAACTTAATAATTCTGTAAAGGCTGAACTAATAACCACCTTAAATAGCATCAAATTAATCAATCACAATACTATTTTTTTTTTAACACCAATGGGCAATTATGTTCTGACTAAGAAAAAACATTTTGAGAGAAATGTGTATGCAGATTTCCTAGGAAAAATGGTAAAGTATGAATCAAAAGTTTTTAGAGAGAAACACATTTTTATATAATTTATTGACCTGTAGGGACAACAGAAACTCAACCAAAATTAAGGTCTCAGAATAACAGAATCATAGAATGTCTTGGGTTGGAAGGGACCTATAAAGGTCATCTAGTCCAACCCTCCCACAGTAAGCAGAGACATCTCACACTAGACTATATTGCTCAGAGCCCCATAAAGCCTGACCTTGAATGTCTCCAGGGATGGGGTCCCCACCACCTCTCTAGGCAATCTGTTCTAGTGATCCACCAACCTCATATTAAAGATTTTTTTCCTAACATTCTATTTCTATTTAAATCTGTCCTTTTCTACCTTAAAACCATTATCCCTTGTCCTGTTATCACATGCCCTAGTGAACAGCTCTTCCCCAGTCTTCTTATAGGCCCCTTTCAGGTACTGGAAGGTCGCTATAAGATTCACCCGGAGTCTTCTTTTCTTCAGGCTGAACAACCCCAACTCCCTCAGCCTGTCTTCACACTAACTTCAGTAACTCCTCATGAAGTCTAAAAATTCTAGTTGCACTTGCAAAGAAATTGTTTGCACAATGCTAAACCAGAAGTGAATGGATGACAGGTTGATCTTACAGTAGCTTTTTGCCCTGTTCTGTATGTTATTTCTCATGTACAGGAAGTTCACACACACATTTTTCTAATCAGCTTTTCCACAAAGACCATGGCAAGCTCTTCACTAACAACTGCAGTGGCTTGGACATCAGTGAGCAGCAAGCTGGTTACTTGATCTAGTAGAGGATGTAATGGCCTCTCAGAACTGCTCCCCAGCTTCAGGAGACAGAAATGATGAGAAGCAGAACATATCAGAGCATTGAAAAATGAAGTTCCAAATCAGCAAGAGCTTTGGCCGTAATCCAACAGGACATGCAGTTGTTTCACTGATATGTGTACACAATGTGAGAGGAAAGAGGGCACAAGGTAGGTACATAATGGCTTTTAAGCAACACGTTCTAAACTCCTGGTAGAAAAACGGAAGATGTGTCTTGATAGTATTGTCGGTAAATGTGATAATTGACAAAAGTCTGATATAAGACAAAAACTAACTGCAAAATGAGTAACACTGACATACTACTCAAAATTCTGTAATTCTTTATCAAACTGATTATCTACAAATTACAATTGAAAATCTTTTACTAGACAATGTGTGAAATAAAATTACAAGGTTCCTCAGAAGTTCAGGTCTTCATCTGAGATGATGCAAACATCAGATGTATGTTACATACATGGACGTGCTACACACTTTGACTTGTCCAGAAGAAGAGTCTTGATATGGATTAAAACTTCCAGTTACCTGCTCTGAATCTCACACCTATGGTATCTGTATTTCTGAGGTTAAGGCTGGAAAATAATTATGGTCTATGAAATACTACTTCATAAAGGCTGAAATAACAGTCACAGGTAACAGACTTAGGGTAATGGAAACACACAGAAGAACAAAAAAGGTTCAACATGTTGCACTTACTTCCTCTGCAACAGCAATGCAATTTCTGTCTGAACTTTCAAATATTCTTGTGCCATTTTGCAATGCTGTTCAAACACAGCCATAGATTCTTTGGAGTTTGGGCATGGTGCTAGAGGCTGAAAATAAATCAGACATGTTAAAAACTAATGAACTGATATCTCAGTATACAGTGTGTTGGAATGTCTCTGCAGTGTATTTATAACATCTTTTAAAAACCAGTAAGGTTTTAAAAATAAGTGGTAAACCATGCCTTGGAAAATGTTACTGCACTAATGTCAAAGTCGACTCAAACCTCACATCTGCAGTTATTAATCTGATGCTCAGTTACAAGGAACAAAACTCCAAGTTGTGTTTAGTCCCATAGACAACAAATTAATACAACAATTTAATTCAGTAACAATCAAATAAATACTGTCTTATTTTGACAGTAAAACTCAGTGTACATTTGGTTTTAAGGATCATGTTTCCCGGGGCTTGTTTTTAATAGCTTGATCAAATCTCAGTCAACCAATCTCAGATTACATAATATATTTTTTTTAGCCTTGGTCAAAAATTAGACAGGATATAAACACAGGTAAGTATGCAACACTATACTTGCAGCCCAAAATTCACACATTAGAATGAAATGCAAGATGAAGTATCTAATAAACATATATTTATTACCTGTAACTGATGATCTAATGTAAGGTATGCCATTGGGATGGAGTTATCTGACCCATTGGTCTCTGTAACAACACCAAGAAAATTGTAATGTATTTCCAGAGTTAATTCCATTCTTACAGGACAAAACCAAGAATACTAAGTCATTTCACAAAACACAATCTGAATGTGGAAAGGCAAATGGAAATAGCAGCGTTCCAATCCCCAGGCACGTGAATCATTTTGTTTTTCTGATAAAGTTAAGAACTTCAAAAGTATGGCCTATCACACCAGGAAGAAATAAAGATGAAGTTTACCATCCTACACCTCTAGAAGCCATGTAACAGCATACAGATTTAAAAAATACTATTTTTGTAGTTTGTAACCGCATTCTCTACTTATAAAAAAATTGCCATTTCATTCTTGTTTATGAAGAAGATCAGCCAGCCAGCCCATGCATCTAATGATTTTAAAATTAGAAGCTGTGCAAACCAGCTCTGCCAAAACAAAATAAGCACAACCTTCTGCTCAGTTTTGAAACCTACTCCCAGTGAGGTCTGGAAGTACCTTCCTCACAACATGCTCTAGGACTTCTTCTCTGCTCTTGGTTATTGGAACCCAATAACCAATCTACCTCTTGGGCCTGGCTGCTCTCTTCTTACTCTGGATTTCTCTAGTGCTTTCATTCCAGATTTAACAAATTTCTCAATTCTTATAGATCCTCTCTTTTGACAGCTCATAATCTAGAGATCACAAAGTTACTGTTAAGCGTTAAGAGACATAGAAGTAAAGACACATGGATAAACTACCAATTTTATAGCTGCATTATTGCTACTAGAGGATTATATGGAGGAGGGTAGGTGGGAAAAAAAAGGGGCTGCTTACCCATACCCCAAAAGCACCTGCCACAGAGTAGTCGTGGTAGAGAAACTAAGGTGTTGCCCTCAAAGACTATGCTATCTCCAAGAGCAGCTTCAAAAGGAAACAGAAATAAGAGGGTGGGAATGGAGAAAAAGTGGTTAAGTGTATGCTTGTAAGGAAACTGGAAGGTGGTACAAAAAAAGAAAAAGAAAATAAAACAACCCTAAAGCCAAAAGCTTAATCACCACAGTATCTTAAATGAGAACAATCTAAAAAGTCCTTTTCTACTTTAGACTATTGCCACATATGGAACAGTACTACAGCAAAAAGAATTATTGCAATGTTTCCAATACATCAATACATGCAAAATACTTCAGATTACATTCCTTAGCATTTCAGCACTGTGTGACAGAACTGTAACTTCCTGTAACTGACCAGATTTGGATTTTGATTTTGCCTCATTAACTCAAAAACGTAGACTCTTTTATGGAAAACGTAAATGCTTTATTTCTTCTTTAGAAATTCAAACTGTTGGTTTTTCATGGACTGCATAAACCTAGCAAGAAAAAAAATGTACATGTGGTGCATTTTGTATTTACCTGAGTATAAGGTGAGAGATTTCTGTGGGCCAGAAATCAGACCTGACTTCTAGCTCTAGTGCTGTGCTGCATCAAAGGCCAAAGACTTGGCACAAACTGCCTTTGAACAGACACACAATCAGCAACTTTCAATTCCCAGTAAACTATTGACTGAGTAAGTGCTCACTGCCTAAAGCAATTCAGGATCCATACTACACAAAACAGGGCACAGGGTGGCTGTGGCAGTGGGCAAGGGCTTTGGGAAATTAAGAGTGACAAGGCATAAAGTGTGATCAGGCAAAATGACAATGGACAGAAAGAAGTGCAGAATCAAAATAGAAGAGTATGTTGTCATCCCACTAAAACAAGGGGAAGAAAAAAAAGTACACCTCTTACATACAGAATCACCTTATATTTGGTAATGTACAAGTGTGCCTAAATATTGCATATGCTTGTGCAAAAGCCAGTCCACGTGTGAGTTTCCATTTTGGATTTGGTTAGAGGAAAAGAATGGGAGTCTGATTAGCCAAAGATGAAACAGGTCACAAGAAAAATTTGAGGCACTACAAGGTACCAGCTTGAGACTAAGTTTATGGTTCAACATGCATGTTTTGGTAAAAACAGTGTAATTATTATTTATATTATAAAAAGAAACTTGTGAGAATCCATTGTTTTAATGCGGTCCAGTACTGTTTTTTTCCTGAATGGAGTGTATTATGACTTTTAAAATTTAATTCAACTATTATGTTCATTCTTAATTATCCAGTAGAAATATTTGCAACACTTCTGCAGACACATATTAGTTCATTTCAAAACAGTAAGATCGTGTGATCATGTACATTTTGCATAGGCAAAATTAAACACAGATAAAAATAGAAAGAATGTATTCCAGCTGATACTCACCTACATAGCATTTCATTCCAGAAGTCAGAGAAATTAAAGCTTTAACTGTGCATTCATAATATAAATGCACAAGACGAAAATGCTCCAAGATGTTAATTCCCCTTATTTCCCAAAGTCACACTACAGCCGAAAACCATTGCTAAAAGATCTGCATTACATACTACCATCACTGCATATGAACAGTACTTCCTTCCAAGAAAAAAGCTTACAAGTTTATTATCTATATAAAGAAGTTCTTTAAGCCAGTGTGCAAAGCAAAGCAGTAACAGATCTTGACTTAAACTGCTTAATTTTCCTTAATGTCTGGGTACACTCCCCACACCACAATCAAACACATATTTTTTTGTTTTTTACAGGTAAAAAGTTAACTAATGAACAAAGGATCACCTGCATCATCAGGTGTCCATGGATTACGAGTTGGCTTTTCAGAGGTTGGTCCCGAGGTAGTGATCATTCTCACACTAGGACTAGATGACCTACTGCTGTTTCTACTCTCCTGAAATGACAAAAGAAAACAAAATAAAATTACAAGAAAAGTTAACAGGAGAGTTTGAAGTGCTCATTTTAAAAAACAGTACTAAAAAAATAAATGTGAAGAAATCTGACCCTATAATCTTCCCAAATACTCTCTTCCCCAAGCTTTCCCCTGAAAGGTCTCCAGATTGTCTGATAAACCTTATATGCATTTCGAGGATTATTTCATCCCCATTTCTACTCCATCTTTACTGTATAAAAAGAAATGGATACAGGTTGGCTATTCAGCATAACAATAAGCAGTACTTAACAATGTGTTCAAGATCTTTATATAAAAGTGCAACACAATACCTAGTAATTTTACCACCACCATTCAGTGAAATCTAGCAGCTTCATAACATAAGGAAGATATAAAGTTTGTTTCCAATGTTTAATCAGTGAATGGAACTAGATTCAATCAAGGGAATGCAGCTTAGGATCTGCAATAGACTGTGGTGTATTAATCTACAGTTTTCTTCTGGTTCTTTGATTCATCTTCAGAAACCATGAAAGAAATGTTTAATCAAACCAGATCAATCAATTAAAGCAATTAGAAAATGAGCACATTCTCTTAAAGTGAATTAAGAACTAAAAAAAAAATACTGTTGGGAGTTCCTTTATGTACAGCTTGACTCCTTCAATCCTTTTGTTTACCGAAGCACAAGAATATAATACACAGTTCATTATTCTACTGAGCTTCTTTTTCAGAATTCTTAATTACAATATATATTCTTGTATTTCATATAACCCCTCACTAAAATGAAATTGACACAGTAAAGGGTTTAAGACCATAAACCATAGCGAGTTTTGCAGGAAAAAAATTAATTGAAAAATACTATTAAAACATAACTACTTTCAATACAGTGTATTTATATTGAAATTATTAATTTTATGTCCCTATTTTTCAAAAGAAGCACTCAGTTATACTTTAACTGGAAACTGTATTTCTCTATGACTCTAGATTCCAAATATCCTATATTAATTTAATTTTTAAAAGCCAGGATCTCAGTCAAGTAACAATCAAAGCGTAACAAGATTCTACACATGGAAATATCCACTAGTACAACTGAAGTATGTTTCTCCTGTAATTTTGATTAACTATTTAGTGCTTCATGTTAAGAGCTAGAAACAGGGCAACAGATGACTGCATAAATAAGCTGATGGGTGATATTATCATGATGGGGACATCAGACACTTTGAAAAAGCTTTTTTTTTTTTTTGAGTTTGGGCTTATTGCTGACTGCTACTGTCCTCAGATATGAATGATAAACACTGCTGATGCCAGAGGTCAGAAGATAGAGCAAGCACTCTTAACAGTGTGTGAGTCCTTTAAGCAAAAAGATTTCTTGAGTACCTACAGCTGATGACAAAGAGCACCTCAGAAATACTCTTAGTTGCAGCAACTTCTTGCTTGCTGTATCAGATTAAACCACCAGAAAAAAAACAAACCACAACCTTGATAACACTATTTAGAGTAAATTGCTAGAAACAGAAGTGAAGCATTTGATCTGATGTTTATCTTAAAAGCACTGCAAAGTCCAAGAAAACTTCCCAAAACTGAACACCTGTTGGGATTACAGAATCCGAGCAAGCACTGAGTGAGATGCTTTCGGTCTCCTGGACACCAGTCCCTGTGACAGGTAAGCCAGTGACTGTTCTTTAGCAATCAGTTTCTGCTACTCTTTCATGGGTGTCCTTTCATCCTTGCTTCCTCCAGGTATCTCAGTGAGCTCAGACTTAGTAACAGGTTACTCTCAAATCATCTTTGCCAGGTGGCCAAATGCCCATGGCCTCGTTAGGTTCTTAGCTTCTATTTCTCAAAGACCTGCAGTCTTGAAAAGCTGGCATGTTGTGAGGAACAATCCCCACCTCCCACAGTGCTCCAGTTTAATTTCATTGGGCAACCCAATGTGAAGAAATCTTCATTACAAGCTCTCTCTCCTCAACTGCAGATTTCATATTGCTGTCAAAGGGGAGGGTGAAGAAAAAAAGTATATGTGACCAGTGTCACAGTCTCACAGACAGAATGATTTCATGTATAATATCAGATTCCCCAAATAATCACACTTAGGCTATCTTGCTGCTCAACCGTTCAATACAGTAAATGGTTTTCTTTAATATATACATTTTTTTTCCAATTCAAAGTAAAAAAGAAAAAAAAAGTTTTAAAAAGGTAGTTTGATATAGCATTAGCACTGTGAAGGATTATGTACCAACCAACCAACCCAGTAAGATACACTGGCAAGGACATGGATACCTTTATTAGACATCTGATCACAACCTGCAATTCTTGAGTGATTATGCCAATTAAGTTACTTAGTATTTGTATCAAATATCACATTCTGTAAAGACTCTATCCAGTGCAAAAAGCAGATCTGTCATGTTCCTTCAAGCCCCCAGAAGTTTTTATAGCTGCCATTTAGAGCCTGCACATCTGTTTCTGCATTGCAAAAGTGTTCAGGCAAGAGCAGTAGTGCTGGACAGTCGGCAGAACACAGCATTTTGAAATGCATGTGCAGGGAAATGGAAAAGCCGGAGAAACAAGTCAGTGCCAAAAAAACATATGTGGAAAAATGAATAGAGCATCACAGAATATGGATGGAAACAAATGGAAATGTAGCATTTTTACGTTTACAGAGAGGGTTGCACCAGTGCTGCCCATCTTGCTTTGAGTGAGGTCCAGCCTAAGGTCACCAAGCGCTAGAGAAATCTGTGAAAATCTGGACTTAAACCATTGTTCTCAACACTGCATCACTCCAACAGCTGACCCAGTGATGGAAACCTTTGGCTAAGCCTATTTTCCCATCTAAACTGTTGATGTGAAAGGGTCAGTTGAGTAATAAAATCATCTACAAAGCACTATGACTGTCTGCTGTTTGGTAACATCATTAAAAGCAATACTGGAAAATGCCTTAAGTATCTCAACAATGTAAATATAGCAATTATCAGCCATACAAACTTCACAAAAATTATTCTAACAGTACACAGAAATAAAAATACACATAAAATAATGAAACATATAAAAATGCTAGATTAGAACAGACTTGCAGGTAAGCAGGAAGACCAGAGTCTTAGTCTACCGCTTCAGGTAAACACCTGAAACTTTGGAGTATTTTTTATTATTATGATAAAGTTTAGTGTTTTTCTCCACCTTAACAAACATTCCATTCTGAACTGGAAAAACCTTCCTGATTAAAAAAAACAGTTGTAACAAAAGAAAACCACATTTACTGATGAGATTTCTGATCAGCTTTAGTGTCAGTGAAATAGCTAAAAAAATTAAAAAGACAAGCAGAACCATGGCAATCCTTCAGTTTTACGCAGGACAGGGGCTTCCACGGGCTGGGTGTGGGAATGGAGGCAGGCAGTGCCAAGGGGCTCAGTGAAGAAGGGTGTGCTGCAGGGTGGGTGTAAAGGAGAATGGAATGTGGGGAAGAAGGACATTTGCAATGAAGAGAGAGGGAAGGGGATCTTCACAATAGAAATGATAACCTAGTTATGGTTTGCTGCAGATGGAGGGATACAATACATTTAGCAGAACTAGGCTAGTCACGGATGTTTATTCTGCTTTGGCTAGTAGACTGCTTACATGGATAGCAATTCAAGAGTTTTAATAAAAATTCAAGGCAGTGAGGTCCAGGGCTATAGAAATCCATAAAGAGTAATCTTAGGTCTTTTTCTATAATTACATTGTGCTTGCTTTCTTGTTTTCTGATTGTTTTTAAAAATACACATAAATATGCAAGCCAGAAGTCAGTGTAAATTTCAGCAGACTTTTCTCTTTTCATACCAAAAAGGGGATGAAAATTCATTTTGCATTTATATGGACAGTAGAAAAGTTTCCTCCAAAGTGCATTTTTAATGCCTGTTAAAATATTATATTTTCCAGATTTTATTATAATGTTTCCAAAACGTGAAAGATATAAGCAGGTAATTCTTCCATTTAGATTTCCAGTATGTCCACTACTGGAAACAAGAAAGTAAAATGTGATTCTGGTACTTCAGAAACTGGTAAGGTAGACAAGCTTTCCTATATCCTCCTGGTCACAAGAACAATTTAGCCAGAATGTCCACACAAGCAGTGGAATAGCTTTCAAAGAAAGATTATTGGAATAGATATTATTATATGAAGTAAATGCTGAAATTCTATTGTTTCAAATCCTAAGTATTCATTAAGATGAACAGAATGAACAATTTAATTTTTTTTAAAAAAAGCTTTAATTAAAATCTACTCATATATCTATTAGTGCAATTTGTTATAACTGTTGTACTGTCACTTAATTTTTTCCCCAAGTCTTGCATATTTTTAGTTCTACAATTAACTTTACTAAATTCTGAAGGTTCATTTCTTTTTAACAAACCTGTCTTCTCTGGTGATAGTAAGATGTATTTAAGACTCACTTGTTACTTTCTGGTAGATGTACATACTAAATTCTATTAATAATACCTGGGGGTTTGATTAAGTTTCTGTGGGTATCGCACTTCATGGAATTAAAGAAGGATCAAATGTTGATCTCTGTGATAACTACACATCCCCAAAATTACCACCTATTTTAGATTATTGCAGTAGGTTGTTTAATATGGAAACCTGAATAACCTGATGAATATGCTAAGCTCCAGTTTCCACATCCAAATACTAGCAGGGATCTCAAAATTGCCAGTTCACACTAATGACCAAATAGCCCCTGTGAATTACTGAAACAGACAGCAAAGCAATTAGAAACACAAAATAAACACATCTGAATAAAGCATTAGCTGTACTTTCCTCATTTAACATGTTCTTAGTTTAATTTGTTCTCAGTTTAATTTCAATTTTATGTGGCACACCCCTGTGTCTGCTACCATGTTATACCACCAGATAAGAAGCTATGCTTTTATTAAGTATCTTATTGAGTCTTTTTTTAAACAAAACTATGTGACAGCCCCCTCCTGTAAACCTTTCACAAGAAATAGAGGGATACTACTGTAAGGTACTATTCAGGGTTCAGAGATTGATAATAAATATATTTATAATACTGATGCATATTTTTAATTTTTATGCAAAAAGTGAGCTTAATGTATGTGTAACTGCTCCAGACAATCATAAGTAGTAATTACAATTGTTTTCTACATATAGAGAGTAAAAAAGGCTTTTCTGCATAACTTCTGCCTTTAGCCAAATTAAGTGGTACACAAAAACTGTGTGTACATAAAAATGACAAATGCTGCTCGAGCTATGCAGAAAACACTTCTCATCTAGAGCTCATTCATAGATTACTCTCATGGAATCTCATTTAAATGCAATACAAATGACTCTACAATCTGACAAGCTTCCACACAATTTCTATGAAAGCATCGAAGGTGAAGATTTCCAGATCAGTTTCCCTGTACAGATTTGGTGTTGACTTTAACTGAAAGATAAAGAAGAGATGAGAGAGACGTTTACCTGACTGGACTCTGTTCCAGCAACACTAAGATCTTGAATGGATCTGCGCCTCTGCTGTCCGTTTCCTGCTGGGGAAAAACAAAACAAAACAAAAACAAACCAGTGAAATCTATTCAGAGCAAAATAAGAAGGGTGAGACTGCTGCAGAGGAGCTTGGAATTTGTACAAATCCACAGAGAGAAAGTGAGAGAGGGGAAGAGAGAGACAGCTGCAGAATTTTAACTCAAAACATGCTGGCCTGTCAACAAAAAGTACACCCTAACACAATAACCACTCCTACCACATGAATAGCTGCTGCACGCTACTCCACCATCTTCTGTCACATGTATTTGGTCAGGCTTAGTACTCAGGGCTGGAGCTGATGACGACATCTATTTCAAGTGCGTTACGTTATGGGGATTTCTAAAAGCCAGACTGCAAAGATAACAGGCTGCCAGCTTGAACCTGCTGCTCTTCGGCGTGCTCAAGGAACACAGCAAGGACTTCTGCCCATGTCCTGCTGCCCTCAGGAAAACTAGAGAAGCGAAAGTGCTTCCTTCTGGTGTTTGTCTCCTTCAGATGAAAGAAACTAAGTCCCATTCTCACGCTGTGAGACGTGTGAAAAGGGGACTGTTCAGCTAATTCACATCTCACCATCAATCTATTGAGCACAATGCTGTAATCTTTTCCTCTTCTCTTTCCACCTGTTCGTAATTATCCACCAGTGACAGCTACATAAAACAGTTTAAATGTTAACACTGACAGGCAATCAAAGGCATTTCCAGGAAACCAAGTCTCCTTAAAAATAAAAGGAGATTATGCAACGGCATCTCCCTGGCTACTTTGATTTTTATTACGGTGATTGTTTACATTATCTCTTAAGAGCAGGTCAGCTGTCCAAAAGGAAACACAAAAATGTCCTGAGTAACAGCTGACAATGCTCAAAATTCTTGCTCTTAGTTCTGCATTACGTAACTTTTCTACTGGAGGGGAGCATCTGAAACATGTCATGCAGCCGCAGCAGCCCCTCGCGCAGTGACCCCACACCCCACAGCCAACCCAGCTCACTCAGAGCCCTGTAACAGGCATCGCATTTTTAACCTCTAAGATACTTCTTGTTCAGCATCATTTCCTTATGATTCCACAGCCTATCTTGACAGGTGTTCGGATTTGCAACAGTCACTACAAAAATATTAGACTATTTAATATTAATCAATAAATTTATTTGTATCATAGCTAAATTTTTAAAATATAAAGTACTATTACTGTAGGAACACATTACTGCAAAACAGCAATCCAAAATTCTCAGTGTCACTCCCAAATTTGTCATGATGTTTTATAGTCTCTTTTAATAGAAATGTATATAGAAAGTACTATGAGAAACAAGCATATAAGAAAACAAAGGATTCTAGAACAGGAGTATATTCTTTGCTCTGATTACAAATGCATATGAGTGGCAACTTTTCTGTGGTCTTAATGTTTTGCTTCTGAAATGGAGGGAAAGTATATACTTACCTAAGCAACAGTGGCTATATTATGTTTAATACTCCAGTATTAGAGATTGTGTGAATGATAGGCATATGTCAAAATATCTGAACTTGTTCATTTGCAGTTAACTTTTTCACTACCTAATCATTTAACAAACAAGACTATATATTCAATAGAATAGATACTTCATCTGGCTGCCACAGCTCATCTCAATATTCACAATATGGGCCATCCACCCACGACTGATACAAAATTATTTGCACATTTCATTCAACAACACTGTTATAAAATTAGCTCAGCTGAAATAGGCTTGCAAAAATATCTGAAATTCTCATTTCAGATTAGCAACATTTGTGAATTTAAAGAACCCGGCACATGTGTTGCTGAAGTATTAGAACATGGCTGCCAAAAAGTTAAAATAATCAGGGTGGGGTGCAAGGAAGAAAAGAAATTGCCTTAGGGGGAAAAAAAAGAGGACAAAATTTCTGTGTTGTAATAAATGAACACCTTTAAATGAAATATCTTCAAGTTAGTAGCATGAGGGAAGAGCAAGCTTTACTAGGCAATGACATTTTAATTAGTATAACTACTGCAGACATCTGGCAAATAGCTTAGACAAAGCAGAAACAGACTACAAATCAACAAATACTTATTGCTCCAGATTCAAGACAAACTTCAACTGAAAATTACACTATACAACATATAATTTTGATTTGAAATGATCGCTGCTACTTCTCTATGGTTTCCTGCCACAGTTTTGTTCTTACCTCTACATTTATTTATGACTATTTTTTTCTCATTATAAAAATTAAGAGATTTGTAAATGCACAGAAGTTTCTATACAGGAGCTTCATGCACTACGTCAGGATTTCAGTGGTTCACAAGGTCTTAAGATTAAAAAACAATCATCACACAAACACACTTCCTGGCCAAAAAAACCCCAACATTTCACATATGGTTGTTTACTAAAATGAAATTAAAAAGAATCAGGAAAGCATTGTGTGCTGCCCTACATACTCCAGCAAAAACAAATTCTACAACTTATTAAGGCTTCTGATCACACCCCTGCCTCCCTGCCAAATATTCAGACCAGCTATGAACTCTTCTCCTTGCCCTTTAGCAGATCCTCATGTCTCCTTTTACACGTTCTTACTTGTGAACAGTACTCGCTCTTCCTTACGCACCTTCAAGACCCAAACCTCTCTCACAGTGCAGGATGATGAGTGAATGAAACAGTGCTAGAAGACATTTTAAATAAATTAAAACCTGGATCTGAACACTGGAAGAATGAGGTGATCTTGGGGAGAACATGGTGGGATTTCTGGCTTTTATTGGTTTCAAAAGTAGATGGAAAAATTACAGAACTAAAGCATCTATAATTCTTCTGCACTTTCTAAACACACACACAAAAAATGTCCCTATCCTGAGCAATCATTTATGCAGTGCCAATCCTACAAAAATCTTAATGCTGTGGCACAGTTTCAGATGACAAAATTGAAAGGCTAAATGCATGCCTGCTGTAATGTATGAGATGACTAATGTTGCCAGTGTAGAAAAGGCTGTACTTTAAAGTATATTCGTTAGATGCTGCTTGACTAGTTTGTATAGAAAAGCTGTTCAGATTATTTTTCATGATCACATTACAAACTATACTTAATTTTTTTTGTTTATTTACACTTATAGCTACTTAGGCCTTTTGTACTTACTAGGGTTTTTATTTTTCATATATATAAAAAAATAAAATGTTGGTGCTTATTGTCTATACTATACATACACTATACATTGAAAAAAAGTAAATCAATACTTCACTTGGCTCTCTAGCTGCAGCATATCACTGCTGAAAAGTCATTTGCCATGTTGATTCATTTTTCTGTTTCTAAATTTCATAAGCTAAAGACAGAAATTAGCATCTTGCATGAAAGAATGTTCAAGCTACCCTTATTTAAACCTATTTAGAAAGAAGAGCAAATATATATTAAAAACTACTACTTCTGTCAACATATTACATTCCACTGATAAAAATATGTATTTTACAACTTTGGTAGCATAATCAGTTCATGGGTGAAAAGCAGCTGAGGCAACACATTACGAAAAAGCCCAATGATAGCAGCTGGAGTACTCATACTTCTAAAATAGCCCTGCCCCAAAGCAGCTGACTCATGGTAACATGCCTGAGTGGTGCCTTCCCTCTCCGCAAAGCAGCTGCTTTACCATGTGCTCAGCAGAACCTCAGGCAGCAGCACAGCCTGGGTCTGCACCCAAGGACAGAGACAGGCTGCTGGCCCCACTGCCAGACATGCCCAGGGAAGTTCGGATGAGCTGGGAATGCGGCGGAAGCACTAAGGAACGTAAGGGCTTGGGATCGAGACGGAGGTACCGATTTGCAGGACTTGGAAGAACAATTAGCAGAGCAAAAGCCTGTAAACAGGTCAGGATTGAGAGCCTTGTGCTGAGAGAGTAAGGAAAGAGGTAAGAAACAGGCCTAGTTATATTGTCTTTAAAAAGATAACTAAGCAAGGTAATTTTGAATAACTGCTTTAAGAATACAGATAAATATAAAGAGTATACTGAGCAGATGATCACATTCCTGTCATGTAATGAATAATCTCTTTATTCTGGCCTTGGGATTCTTACAGGAAAGCTGTTCTGACAACCAGAATACTTCTAATATACAGCCCAGGTTTATCTGCAGGTAATTAACACCTTTTTTCCATAGTGCCAATACTGTCTTTCAGTTTTAGTTCTCTCTTTCTAGTTTTTAGCTGCAGATTCATTTAGAGAAAATAATTATTAATTTTTCAGCTTCCATTTTGTGGGCTAAAAAAGCCACAATTTCAGGCTGTTTTTTATATTCTCCATACCAACCTAGCAGGTCTTCTTGCTATTATTTCCGAGGGTATGTATGTTTCTTTTATATGGCTGCCCAGAACAGTATGTTGAATTCCTGATTAAACCTCAGCAAGGGCCTGTAAACAGTGTTAGTGCTTCCTTATTTATTCTAGAAATGAACCCTAAGATTTCAGTTTTTTCACAACTGCATGACATTAGTGGCTTATACCACCTGGGATTGATTTGCATGCATCTGCTATGGTCCTGTGTGTTCTTATTAAAATAAACTGTTGCTAGTGTATGACCCACAGTCCATGACCCTCAAATTGACAATATTTCTATTTTTTTTCCCCAGACAAAACAAAATTCACTCTATGTGATACTCTAATCCTCCTCTTTATGAATAGCTGCTTCTGATAAAGCAATTAACAGTGACCTTCATTATCACTTATTTAAGATGTGATTACCTTAAATTTTGAAAAAATTATTAATTATGTTTGCTCCAATCCTATACCCTTTTTTCATGTCTCCATGTTGCTGTTTCTCTTGTATCTATTTCAAATTCACTTGGAATTCCCATCCTGTCAAGTTCAATTAAAATAGTTCAGATGAAGAATATCTAATTGACATCCTCTGCCTAAATAAGTAAAACCAGTTAGACTGGTACAATGTATTTTGTGAAAATGACGTAACATTTTATTTCACTGAATTTTTAAAATTATTCTCTAAAAGTTTAAAAGTTTCTCAGAAGCCTCAGAGCTGTTTGTTACATGCAGAGAGTGTGCGCAGACCAGAGGCACTGAGGTAGCTTCTGGAGCTTTTTTACCTGGCTCTCATCATGTGCTAACACTGCAAAACTTGACAAATCTCTTCACTTTCTCTTTCCTTGCTCTCTCAGGATTTCATTTATGTCATGGCAGACCAGAAGTCTCTGAAAACTACAATGGAAAGCTCCACTAGGAAACTTGCTTGCTGATTTGTTCGCCTCAAAGCCAAATAGGTTTTCTTTTCATGGGTAGTGCCATTCTTCTTTGGAATCTCCTTTTTGACATTATTTTTACACATAAACTTCAATAAAGATATTTGAAAGAAACTTTTGTACAAAATTATCTTTTGTATTCAACTTTAAAACACCAAACTATGTCAAGACTTAGAAGGAAAATTCCTCAGATGACACAAATTTGGAGTAGGGGGTCCACAGTTTTTAATGGATCTCCAAATCAGCAGCAGATATTATTACTTGAATCTTCTGCCTTTGATAAATCATTTTGAAGTGACCTGTATCACTAATGGTATACCTATCACAGTTTGGAATTGATTATACTTATTTTTAGGCATTGAGAAGTATGAAATGAAAGAGACCTACTTTGACTGCAAAAAAAACTGAATGGGAAAGTAAAATTATATGCTGCTAGCTAAAAATAGACTTGGGACAGATAAGAATTATTTGTTAAAGTCCGAGCTGAAATTACCACCTATGGTGCCAAATAATGCTGATTTTCTTCCTGTCAGAAGCCTCTCCTAATAATTTTAGTTTGCATTAAACATGACAGAAATACCCCATGCAGACACATTTCAGATCTAGAAAAGTGTATTCAAATATAATGTATATGGAGATTAAGTGATATTATTTTAATCACAAGTATCTCATAGAATCATTAAGGTTGGAAAAGACCTTCAAGACCATCAAGTTCAACCGTCAGCCCTACAACCCCATGACGACTAAAGCATCTTCCAGAGCACCACATCTACCTGCTTTCAGAACACCTCCAGGGATGGTGCCTCCACCACTTCCCAGGGCAGCCTGTTCCAATGCCTCCCCACTCTTTGTGAAGAAATTTTTCCTAATATCCAACCTGAGCCTCCTCTGGCACAACTTGACCCTATTTCCTCTTGTCCTATTGCTGGTGACTAGGGAGAAGAGGCCAACACCTGCCTGACCACAACGTCCTTTCAGGTAGGAGTGGAGGCTGTGGAGAGCAATGAGGTCTCTCAGTCTCCTCACATAGATTTGAAGCTCTGAACAAAATGAATTTCAGTTTTTTGTTCTACTAATATTTGATTAAATTAAAAATGGGGGCTCAAACACAAAAAGATCAGGGTAAGAGAATTACCTAGATAGGAATTTTTCAACTGAAGTTGAAAATGAGGTATTGTAATCAAAGACTGCATGTATGGTTTTGCTCTATAATATAGAATCCTAACATCAGGATCATAAAGGAGAAACATCTTTTATCAAAAAAGTAAATTCTAAGATTGAAATCCTTTACTGATAAAAGTAAGTTTGTACTAAAATATCACACTCCTCTTTAGAGACATTATGAAAAAAAAAAATCCCAATAATTTCAAGTTCTGTCCTAAAGCAACTGGAGCAAGAAGTATTTTCAGCAGTCTGATCATTATTCCGGCATCTTAACCAATTGAACCGTTCACCTGGTCTGCGATACCTGGTATGATGATCTCAGGGACATCCAGAATGTTGCCAAATGAAGCAGTTTTACGATGGCCTCGTTTAGGCTTGGAATAAGCTGAAAAAATACACATATACAATACACATGCAAAACACTAAAATGGCAATAGCAAAATTATTAAATTCCTAATATTGCAATTTTCATAAACTTGGTTAAACTATAGTTCATGCAAAAATGTGTCATGCAGAATAAACTGCATTGCCTTCCACTCATGCTTACAGGTATTAAAGCAACTGTTAAAAAGCAAAAAATGCAGAACTAGCTGTCATTACAACACTGTGTAATTAGTTACAGTTAGCAACACAAAAGTCAAACACGGAAAGCAGCATGGCAACAAGAAAGGGAAAAACCAAATGTAATTATCTGGACAGAGGACAAATTAAATTATTTCAGATCACCCATATTTTCAGGATAAATTCTTGATTGCCTCAACTTGTTACATTTTCTCTTTAGTGTTGGGTACAAACTATTTTATAAACAAGATTAATAGTTGGGTACTTCTGTTTCTTTAAATCACATCCTATATATATAGGACATATAAAGGACATCTCATCTGTCTCTGAAAAAATGCTTACTCTCATTACATTTGACACTCATTCCTGCCTTCCAGTTTTCAGTACTATTAGTGATGATTTTTTGTTTTGCAAACTGGGTATCACTACCAACTGTTTAATTTTTGAATTATGTTCAAGAAACTTCATATACTTTGGAATAAAATCTAATTATACACTTTTTATTTTACTACTTGTGTACATTAAGATAAACAGTTTCCATTTAGAGAAAAGTCTGAATACATCTCCCAGAAGTAGAAGATGGCAGCACATCCATCTCAAACTTATTAAGTAATGGTGATGTGCATTATGTGATTTACTCTTACACTTAACCTAGTGATAGATAGAACAAGAATATTAAATAGCTCTTAACCTGATTTAACAACAGCCCAATTCTCAGTCAGCCACACAATTTTTTTCAGGTTCACATCACATTATTTCTTTCACACACTTAACAAAATTAAAAAACAAAGCAAACCAATACAGGGCTGTTTTAGCTTTTTTTGAAAAGGTTACAGTCAGATGGGTTTGATCTAGTTTCTTCTACTAGACTAGGCAGTCTAGTACTACCTGAGGTGATTTCTTTAAAAAAATAAACAACACCACAACAAACTAGTATGTTCAATATATTTTGCTTCAAGAAAAATAAACCCTGCAGTTGTAACAAAAACTGAAAAAAAAGTAATCTTAGACTATTCTGAAATAATCATCCCTATTCAGAGCAAGGTACTTAAGGCAGACAAACCAGGAAAATCAAAAAACTTACACAAAGGATGGCCAGGTTATCTCCACTATGTGAAGAACTTACATTGACTTTACAGTATCAGAGACTAAAGTGAGTCCTGACATATTTTAAAATAAAACCAGCATGTTGTTATTATCAGGTAAGTACACAGTTGCCTTCTGTGTTAGGAAACCTTTAGAGATACTCAGGGTGAGATGTGCTACACAATCATCCAGTCAAAGACTGACAATACAAAAGACAAATCTTGGAATAAGGCTTTAAAATGAGAACATAAAAGTAAAAAGTGTTTAGGGTAACTTCAGTATTTAGTAAAACAAAATCCTGGAGTAATCGTAATACAATGAAGAACAAAAATGAAATAGTCATGGTGCACAAAAAAGCCAGACTATGATGCATAGCTCCTTATTAATTACAGCTACTCAATCACCCTAATTTTCACATTGGTAGACAAATACCAGAACAGCTAAATAACCCTGGACGTACCAAAGTAATTTTGTCTGATTATTTGAATCTGTGATCATATATATATACACACACACACTGTAACAAAAAATAGCTTCATATATGAAACTTTAAGTATGAAGTTTTCAGAAATTAACAAACAAATTTTGATGAAGAAAAGAGACAAGAAAGTGTTTGCCAAGCACACATTTTTTTATTAATTTGCTTTTCTGGGGAGAATAAAGATTGCTTTCACCATAATATTATGTATTTCTACTTACACATAAATTCCAATTCACTCAAGGATTCAATGTTTAGACACAATAGTTTATAGCTACCTGAAGCAAACCTGGCAAAACACCTGTAGCTTTTTTTTTAAAACAAAACATACCATTGCTTTGTTAATATCATTAATAAAACCTATGTTTCTCTTTCTGAAATCTGTCAAAACAGATTTTGAAACTTATTTGAGAACAAGCTGAACTTTAAACCCACCTCTTACTTCCAAAATATTATACGAATAACCTTGAAGGAAATGTTATTTTAGAAATATATATGCTAGCACAGATGGAACATTACTTCAAGTGAAAGGAGAAAGTTTTGCCTATGGAACAAGACTGCTATCTAGAAGTCTTGTAATGATTTTTAAAAAAAGTAAAAATCTAACTTGACAAAAGTAATCTCTTCTGCAAACTCAAAAGTATCCAATTAAAATACTCTTTTTGAATATACAACTCTGATTAATGCCATTTTCCTCTACACTTAATAAAGGACAATAAAAAATATATGAAAAGTTTAAGTATTTTCATACAGCTATTGGTATTAACCTTCTGTAAGACAATGCATGCTTTACGTCTTTCCTTCCTTCAAATTTCTTAGTCTACCCCCCAGCCATCCTTTAATTTTACCTGTGATGGAAGCTATTCTTGCTTCTATTTCAGACATGTCAGCACTCATCCTTTTGGCTTCTCCTGAAACCAGGGCTGATTGTGGTCGTGCACGAACATCTGACAAGCTCTCCACGCTGCTCCCACGAGATGGGGGTAAACTCAAACGACCAGGATCACCCTGTTTCAACAGTCACAAGGTTCAAAAAAGAACTAAAATTCTGCAGAAGCCCATCCATCATACTCACAGCATGTAGGTTAAAATATATTTCTGTAATGTGCATTTTAAAAGTGACATTTAACATTTTTAATTTCATAAATGGTAATAATTTCTGTTACTGGCATACAAGAATCAAATATCTGCAAGTTTCAAAATAGTCTAACTTTAAGCAGATAAAAATTAAGTCAGATTAGGCCAGTATTGTCACAAGAGAATCTTTGTATTTTTTCATCCTAATTTAAAAAAAACATTAAAAAAAAAAATCACATACACATTTAATCCTTTATGGTACAATAATATTTTGGTTCTGAATTAAGGAAGAGATTTTAAAATATGTATTTTTTTTAACCTAATGAATCTCCTTAAATGAAATAAACTTTTTTCTTATTTTGAGATCTTACTAGTACCTTCCAGCTTACCTTTTCAGAATTATTACAAATTTTTTTATTCCCCTTTTCATGTCCTTTTCCTGTAACTCACTGGCTCGAATTTTGTACTATTTTTTAAAGAAGGCTCTGATGTTTTGTTTTCCTTTTCATTATTGTGGTTCAAAATTGCATACTTGGGCTTACCGGCTGCTTGGCTGTGTTTTTCATCTGTTGTGCCAATTTTGACTCTAAACGCTTAATAGTGTCATTGGTAGAAGCTCCTTGGAAGTCACTTGGTTCCATGTTCGCATCACTCTTGTTACTTGTGTTTGTGGAAGTGATGTCCATAAATGAACCTAGAAAACAGTAACAGGAAAAACACATTTGAGAATTTCCATTAAAAATAGTAGAGTGCATCTCTTCACTTGAGCGCTCAGAATCATAGCACGGTTTGGGTTGGAAGGGACCTTAAAGATGATCTAGTTCAAACCTCCCTGCATGGGCAGGGACACTTCCCCCTAGACCAGGTTGCTCAAAGCCTCATTCAACCTGGTCTTGAACACTTCCAGGGATAAGGCATCTGCTACCTCCCTGGGCAATATGTTCCAGCATCTCACCACCCTCACAGCAAAGCCTAATTTGGCTTCAAAGTAACACTACCAAAAACTTTTAATCACAGAATTCTCAGAGTTGGAAGAGACCTCTAGAGATCATCTAGTCCAATTCCCTCACTAAAGCAGGATCCCCTAGAACACACTGCTCAGGACAGCATCCAGGTGAGTCTTGAAAAATCTCCAGAGAAGGAGACTCCACAACCTCCCTGGGTAGCCTGTTCCAGTGCTCTCTCACCCTCACCATAAAGAAGTTTTTCCTCATATTTAAATGGAACTAACTATGTTCCAACTTGTGCCCATTGTCCCTTGTCCTCTCACTGGGAACTACTAAAAAGTCTGGTTCCATCCTCCTTGCACCCACCTCAGAGGCATTGGTATAGCCATTAGTAATGAAAGGCAAGCTGCAAGATTGCAGCAGATCCATTTACATAAAAAGTAAATGGAGTGAAAAAGACAATACACAATTAAGTACTATGATGACATTCTGAAGTCAGTCTTTAGCTTGCTCTGAAATTGTTGGGGTAAGTGTTGTATTAACAACACAACCAGCAACCTCACTCACTATTAATGACCAAATGCATCATTAACCACAGAGGAGCACAAATACCTGAAGAACAGCTGATATATATTCACAGTACTAAGTAATAAATCATATCTTAAAATCATATGTTAAGATGTAGAGAATAGCTAGTCAAGTCAGTGCAATGCTGCAGCTGAAAAGATTCTGCAATATACAGGTCATTAAGCTGCAAAGTAGCCAAGCAAACTTTATCTGAAATTACAGCAATTTGTTTGGAGACAGAAAACAAACCAACCAAGCAGCATAAGGAGAAGACACCTAAGTTTAAAAACAACTGAAGTGGAAAACATTTAAAAATTTTTAAGAGCCAATGATCTTTAGTTTATACCGTTAAAAGGATTTCTCTGAGGGCAAGGCTACCTGAAACACTAGCCCACATTTTGTTCCATTCATTTTCATATTTGTTTCCTTGCACTTAAAATTACTGTATTTACTGCATCTTAAGATAAAACAACAATGTCAACTCCTAAACATTACATAAGAGTGAAAGAGTGTCATTGCTAGCAACTTCATGGGGAAACGAGGAGACCTTAAACCTAGATGTTCAGAGGCACTTTTATTATTTGCTTGTTCCCCATTCAAGGTGCACTTCAGCAAAACCATCTGGCTGAGAACACCATATATGATGTAGCATGAAGTCTTAATTAAAAAAACAGGGTCTTGCCAATGTTTAAGATTTTGGAAAGGCTACCTTTCCCAATTTGAGTTCAAAATCAATATGAAAATGTGTTTTATAATCCATCTGCATAATTTCACATTGCTGTTCTTTTATTTATACAAATGTACCTGTACTAGTGGCAGAATTGCTTTGGCCTTCATCTGAATACTGGCAAGGATACTGCAGAGGCTCATCAGCTCCTGGAAAGTACTGTGAAAAAACAGGAACAATTAGATAAAAGAGTATTAACAAAAAAAAAAAAAGTAAATAGTATCTCATAACATAATTTGTAAAGAAAAATTATATAATATGTTTTTAATAATTAATTTAAAGAGGAATAAATGCAATTCTTTCTAGTAATACACTAAAATACATCTATGACTATTTTCATTCATTTCCACAAATCTGTTTTGAGTTATTATACCTCTCCAACAAGGACAGAAATTATTTACCTTCTCTACTGTAATAATGTAATAATTTTTATCAAAAAGAAAGAGAAGGAGAGAGAAAACAGGCATGCCTTTAGAGTGTGATAAAAGGCATACCTGTTTTAACTCAATTCCCCAAGTTAACAGGTTAAGAAATTATTAAGATACTAAAATAAATTTTATACCCGCATTAAGTGTGTCATTATTTTAACAATTTCCTCCATGGATGGTCGTTGTGAGGGATCCTTGGACCAACAACGGGTCATTAAACTCTCAATTGGTTTAGGTAAGTTTTTGATCAGTGGTGGCCGAGTACCTAGAATTGAAATTAGGAAAAATACTTAATTTTTTAACAGCCTGTAAGATGACTGACAGCCACTGATCTCTCTCCATTATTTTGCTAAATAAATAGAGGAAAACATATACTTAATTGTAGGCTGAAAGAATTGGTCTGTACTTATTTTTCTGTCTTACAAACAAAAACCCGACCAAGTTCCTTTGCACTACATACAAGTCACAATTACATACAAACAATTAAGAATAATAAACTTTTCCTTAAGTAGTGGTTTGAATAAATTCATTGACTGACCCAATAGAAACATATTACAATGGCTAATGAATATGTTACCACTTTCTGAAGAATAAAGCTCTAGATCAAACTGGGAAGCAAGTATTAACAGTCTTTGGTTCTTAATGCTATACTCACACAAAAAGAAAAAAAGGAAACAAACAAACCAACAAACCAAACTATTTTTGAAGGCTGATTTTGCTCTTAAGGACTTCATGAAAAATTATTAAGCACTGGCTTATATTTTGAATTTTGTGTTTTACTTTAACTGTTTAGCTGTATAACTATTCAGCTGTTTTTTTGGCTCAAGTTTCTACTCTTTTCAATATTTCAATAATGAATACAATTAATGGGCATCCAGTTGTGTTTAATACATGCTATGTAGTGACATTTTGCATAGAAAGCAGCAAGTATTAAAACAAGGTATCAACTACAAGTAACACAAATTAAGAGTGCCACAATTGTTTCAAGGGAGATGAAGTGCACTGACCGACCCTTCCTAAGAAGGAAAAGAAGGGGGTAAAAACAGAGAGAAAAAGAAAAAAGAGAAAACTTTTTAAAGGAGAAGTAGGGACAGATAAAGAATTTGTGTTCCCCTAAAGGACACTCCCACACATTACTGAGGCTGATTTATGACTATTATACTTACACTTACTTTTACAATTAATACTTTTATACAAGGCACTCATCATTCCTAATCTCAACTACTCACGTCCTGGAAAAACTGAAATAGAGACTCTCTTAATTAAAAAATGCCATTTACAAATATCTATCTTTGTGCAGTATTATGACTATAATGGTCACTCATCCTATCACTGTCTGCCCCTTTCTCTTCTTCACTGAACAGGATACCTGTGCTCACCTTAGGCTTCTATCATTTAGTACTGAAGCAATGATACCCAGGCAGAGCACCAGCCTCCACTGCTTGTTTCTTAATTGTATCTTCCAAACACGTTCATCCTCTCTTTGATGTTTTCTCTCACAACTGGCAGAAACTCTTTGCAGAAATCCACTGAGCTACTTCACTATCATTACCTTATTCTTGTAAAAACTCTGCATTGCCATGGTACCTAAAACCACACTGTTGAAAAAGTTATACTACTAGCATGAAGATACTACAGTCTATTATTCTGACCAATGCTGTACCACTGCTTTCTTTTGTTCATTTGAATCTAAGCATTGTCACCTCTTTGTATCCCAAGCTCCTCAGGATTTGTTCTGTACAGTACCCAGGACAGCAGAGTCCTGCTCTATGATGACAGGTACCTTGATATAATGCTAAAACAATTCAAACAGCAGAACAACAACAACAACGAAATATGAAAAACATTTTAATGCCTAACAGACCCCTACAGGAGTCTAACAGTTTCTAGCATTTCCAAAGACAGGACAAGTTAGTTAAACTCACACATTTACTGTAGATGCCCAGGTAACAAAAAAAACCCCGAAAGAAAAGACACAATAAAAAGTCAACTCGGCTAATAAAATTGTCATGCACCCAGAGGCATTGAGGGTGTTTTTGTAGCACAATTCAGATCACTTTTAAAATGGAGTGTCATAACAAAATGAACATGACTCTTTTCCCTTACTTTTCACACACTGGTTGCATGTAGCAGGAAATACAAGCATGGAAGCAGCCAAATGCCACAAAATCCTCACTAACACAAAAGTGGCAGTGTTTAACTATAAGTTTTTATGATAAAAATGCATATTTAATGAAGTATAAAAGAGAAAAATTAGTAATTTAAAGCTACACAGTTAGGAGTGTTTAGCGAATTTATAGGTCAAATACACAACTTCAAATGCAGTAAAATATTTTCAACTCACCATTGTGAACTGCCCACATTATGCGGAAAGCTGGGCCACCAATCTCATCAAAAGGTTTCCTGCGGGTGATTACCTCCCAGAGAATAATACCCCAACTGAAAACATCACATTTTTCACTGTAATTGCTACCTGGAAGAAAGCCAGCAATATAATTTGTCTCTTTTCTATGTAACATATTAAAAAGAAGAACAGTCTGAGCTGATAAATACTTCTATATGCTTCCTTTCACTTAACATTCATTTTGCTGAGAAAAAACAGTTTTATAAAGCTGGCTGATTCATGCTAACATAAGCCTGAAATCATTTGACAGTAGGATCACTAAGAAGGCCTCTCTCTGAAAATCAATCCTTTTCACTTGGAATCATCCTGAAATTACAAAATGCATCTGTTTTCTAATATAATATAAAACAATTTATTAAGTTTCAAAATTCTCTTGTATTCAGGATTTAACGTGCTATGCTTGCTTCCTCTAAATACTCTTCTTCAACTCACTTCCAAGTCACAGTATAGTAGCCAATAACATCTCTGTCATATCCAGTGCTCTTTATTAATAACAGATTTTTAGCAGAACTAGTAAGTAACCATATGAACAAATCTGCAGATTCCTCAAATCCTCACCATCTTATTTCCTCCCTATTTATTATTCTTACTCTTTTTGTCATGTCATTACTTAACTAAAGTTCTTTGACCATAAGTTCCATATTTCTAAGATTAATTTTAAAGCTGCAGAAGAGATGTAGGTAATACAGAATAAAGAATAAAAATTGTCAGAGATTGCAAAGAATAAATTTAACACATGCAAATACTGAAAAGAAATGTGAGTGGCTAATGACATGATAACACATCCATGAACATAAGGGGTAAGACACTTGCTCATCTGTCTTCAAAAAAAGAATTAAAATTGGTATTGAGTGGCCAAGAGATTTTTAAAACATAATCAGAAAGAAAGCATAATTGAGACAAATAATCTCATAAACAGTGGAAGTAAAGAAGCCTAGTTTCATCACAGAATCATTGAAGTTGGAAAAGACATTAAAAATCATCTAGTCCAACTGTAACCCAGCTACCACAACCACTAAACTATATCCTGAAACGCCACATCTAAATGCTTCTTGAACACATTCAGGGATAGCAACTCCACCACCTCACTGGGCAGCCTGTTACAATGCCTCACCACTCTGTCAGTTAAGAAATTTTTCCTAATATCCAACCTAAATCTCCCCTGGTACAACTTAGACCCATTTCTTCTCATCATATTGCTAGTTACTTGGGAGATCAACACTGGCCTCTCTACCACCTCCCTTCAGGTAGCTGTAGAGAGCAGTAAAATCTCCTTGAGCCTTCTCCCCTTCAGACTAAGCAATCCCAGTTCCCTCAGCCTCTCCTTGTAGGATATACCCTCCACACCCCTCACCAGCCTTGTTTATCTTCTCTGGACACACTTCAGGACCTAAATATCTTTCTTGTACTGTGGTGCCCATGTGGAAACCCATCATATAGCACCCAGTTGCACAGGCTCTCTTCTACCTATGAGCCATCTTCCCCTACCCCCATACCTCTACCAAACTGTTCAAGGAAAGCAGCATGTGACAGGACAGATCTTGCAGACTGGCCAGTTTGCAAGGCAGACAGGAGAGACTGGCTGCAGCACAAACCATGAGTCTTCTCTAAGTGAAGGCACTAATTTGGACTTCTCCCAGGTACTGCTTTTATAAAACTCTAAGAACTTGGCATCTTCAAAACTCTCTACACCTGTATCAAAGTAGCATAATGTTTTACTGGGTCCAGAAGTTACTGAAGGGGAACAGCAAGTCAGATTTATCAGTCAGCTTTTTTCTCAAAGGTGACAGAAAAAAAGGTATTTGTTAAACATGGCAGATTGCTAAGTGAAGCCAAGCAGTCGTCATCTATGCAGCCAAAGCACTTCTGTGAAACAGTCTGTACAGGCAAATAGTGTTATTCTCCTACTTGAGCAGGGAAATTCTGTTTTGTGGCCGAGAAGTCTTGGAGTAATTCTGAAAACTGAGAGTCCAGAAAAATTGACAGAGTATTCTGTACTGTTTCATTATATAACAGAACAAGGTAGGCTGAAGAAAGACACAACCATTCTTCAATTTATTCAGTTATCCCCAAGCAATTTTAAAATAGTTTCTTCTACATATACGGAAATAAGTAATTTGGGTAACAGTTGGATTCAGAATCTGAGAAACCACTGCTGCACACAGACACTTGGCAAATATATCAAAACCACGTAAAGCAGGGAGATGACTTCTCCAGACCACTCTGCTAATTGCAATGATAATGTGAAGTACTGGCTGGCTAAAAGGTGTTTTATCTCAAATCTAATATTGATTGGATTATTTATCTGATAATCATGCAGAAATTATGCCTATCTAATTGTTAAGTGTCATCAGTCTTCCCCAGCTACACTCCAAGAAATAGCATGTTTTCCAACTTAACTACACTATTAATAACGAGTTTCTCAGTATGTAGGGAAGTGGAGGTACATCACATCTCTAGATTACACAAAAAGCTGACTAAAATGGAGCTACAAGAAAGACGAGGATTGAAAATGAAGGCAATTATGTTCAATTTAGAGACATTAACAGGGAAATTTTAAAGATAAAAGCTGATCAGAGTAGGGAGTGAAAGCAGTTAAAGTGTATTTAAATGTCAGAAGAGCTAGAAATTACTTAAGGATCTTGGAAACAGCACAATCCTGGGTTAGAACCCTGTGGCTGTGTTTTACTTGCTTATTAAAGAAGAAACAGCAGCTGTCTAAAGGTACTTCTTATGTAAATCTCAGCAATGACACAAACATTCCACATCTTCATAAAATTAACTGATATTAATATGCTAGTCAATTCAGTGCTGCTCCTCTAAACTCTGCATAATTATTTAGTAATATACAATCATACCAGTACTTAAATAAACATTAGACTTCTGCCAAGACTCTTTCAGCTGTTACCCAAAACTTTAGCACACTGAAGTAAATGAGATCACACGATGCTCTTTTTCCTATACCAAATTCATACACAGTTGCAACCTTAGAAATAACAGATAATATTGACACTGTAAATCACCCCATTACCTTCAAAAACTTCAGGTGCCATCCAAGCAGCACTTCCCTTGTTGTTGGTCATGTGTGTTTGAATATCACAGGCTGTACCAAAATCACAGATTTTTAGAACTGTCCCCCCAGCTACCAAGAGCAAACTGTCAAAGAAAAAAACCAACAAATTAAAACTGTAGGATGAAATAGTCTAGTAACAAATAACTGGTTGTTGTTTTTTTTAAACCACTAAAAAATTACTCTAATATAGTTGAAGATCTAAGGCTTTGCTTTCAATACTTTAGTTTTACAATTTGAAAAATAAATAAGGTCATTTGTACCTAACCAGAACATATAAAATATTTTATAATAATCAAATATACATTGTAACTTATTAATATTTCTACATGCTAGATTTTAAGTATCTTTAGCCATAGTAAACCACTATGCACATATTGAAAACATGTATGCCAGAGGCTGAAAAACAGTAAGTGCTGTAACAATTTTATCAAATGAAGTACAATCAAGACTCCCATTAATGTCACTTGACTTTGCTATTTATTTAAATGAAAGCACTTGCAATTACATGTTAATAGCTCTCTAAATCAAAACTAGGGATACAAGAAAGATTTACAGTGTGGGTTCATGTTATAATTTTATCTGGTAATAAACTGCAGGCTACAAACAACAGGGGGTGATCCTGTTGATCCCCAAATCTTTGTTTCCAACTAATCTGTGGAACCAGATATGAACCTGTAAAATGAGTTTTTGTTTCAGTGGAAAGTGATGGGAGATTCTGGCAGGGGTAGTGGAACAGGCAGAAGAAAGGTACAGAGAAGGATGGCCATGTGGAGGGAAGAGCTCCAATGTATCAGATTAAATATGATGTTAAAACCAACCAACCAGACAAGCCCTCCACCTAACATTCTCTTACTGAACACCACAACCCTTTGTGAGACCGGGCAATTGTAAATGTCACTGAGTACAACCCCTATCCCTATCAAAATCCTCTTCCATGGTGCAGGGCAGACAGGATGTTTTGCCAGTTTAACAGAAAGTAACTGAGTACAGTTAATTTCCTGTACCATGCACTATCACTGTGTACCTAAAATTTCAAATGCACAGCTTTCATTTAGAATAGTAAATTCAATAAGTTAGTATCAATTAAAAGTATTTTTTTCAAATGCATTGAGATTATTAGAATTGATCTTCAATTCCAATTCTAAGAAAATAAAAAATACGATCCATAAACCTACTTTGGTGGTTTCAGGTCTCTGTGGATTAGAGCCTTTGGTTTCATACTGTGGAGATATGCTACTCCTTGGGAGCACTGTAAACACCAACTCATGGCATGTGCAGCAGTATAATGAGGGAGAGGTTCAGCACCATGCAGCACTGCAAAACAAAGGCACAAACTAAAAAGAACTTTATTGCATATTACAACAGATACAACAGAGTTAACAACACACCAGTCAGAAAGCTCTATGGACTCTAAGTCATGATCAGTGCCTCGTCACTGCAACTGAAAGTATCCTTGTGCAGACTTGTCAAAATATTTTTCCATTTTTAGTATGCTTTTCATATTTTTTGATGTTAAAATTCAATATTAACGTGTTGCTTGTTCTTAGCTATCCCTGGTGAAGTGCATGTTATAGAAATACTCAGGTAATTTACAAGTTCAGGAAGAACATTTTCAGATGTTTTGCTGGAAAACCTAAATAACTTTTATAAAATATAACAAACTGATATCAAGAAACAAACTACTGGACTGAAAAACGGTTTTTAAAAGCACACTTCTTTCTCTTTAGAATTATGAGTTTCAAAGAACCCCAGAATGGCTGGGGTTGGAAGGGACCTATGAAGGTCCACTGAGCATGGTCAAGCAGGCCACCTAGAGCCAGTTGCCCAGGACTGTTGTGATAGCTTCTGAGTATCTCCCAGATACTCATATATATGAAACATACATCTCCAGACATACGTATGAAAAAACTTCATATTTTAGATGATGTTTGCCTTAACACTAGCACTTTGGCTCCAGGAAGACACTATGTTGAAATGATACTCACCATTGTACAGAGAACCTCCTTCAGCATACTCCATAACAAGACACACCTTTGGGGGCAAGGAGGGGACAAAAAATAGGGATGTTTTAAATGTAGGGGTGGAAAACAGGTTTTGTAAACTTGAGAGGAACTGCAAAGTCTCTATACCTAAGCTAAAGGAAAATTTATCTATGAGGTGAAGAGTCAATCTGAATGTGTATGTATAAGAAATGGACATCACTTATACTTAGTTCCCACTTCAAGTTAGGAAAGAAGAGAATGACTTTCCCCTCTGCCCCCTGTCTTGAAAAGCAATTGCTGTCTTCAAACTACAAGTCATTTGCCTTTACTTTTGTTTAGTGGCTTACAAAAATTTTTAAATACCATGTCAAAAGAATTTTACTAGTACTAATGAAAAAGGAATGGAGCATTATTTTAACCAATTAAACAGCCCATATTAGAATTAGTTAAAGGTACATCTGTCCTGTCACAGTTCTTGCTTTTCTGTTTTAAGATTTTGTGGGACTGTCTGCAGCTGTGGCAGAAACAAAGTACATCCTGAAAATGACATATATGAGAATAGGAACTGATTTACAAGCTATGAATCACGCACTGCTAACATATTTTCCTTTTTGTACTGCTGATTTGCAATTAATAGGACTGTAGATATGAATGACATCACATCAGTAATACATCAGATGCTGTTCTGAAAAACTGAAGTATAATCAGTGTTTAGAAACAGGATTTGGGGTTTTCTTGAAAGAATTGATTTCCCATACCAGGGGAAATAAAAAAAACCAAACATACCTGCAAATATCAACCAACTTACGTATCTCTGTATTTCCTTACTGTGGCTAACACAAACAAAATATATATAAAATATACATTTTTCTATACACAAAACACATTTTGTGCATTGATGCTTGTGTATGTTACGCTAGTCATCTTTTGTCACACTGACAAATCTGTAACTTACTGGGTTTAGACAGGCTCCATATAACTTGACAATATTGGGATGGTTTACACGTGACAGTTGACGAAGCTGCAATACAAATCACACTTAATTTCAAACCATGGGAAAAAAGGCTAATACTTTATTTTTCATCTAGAATTCACACACAACAACAATTAAGTTTTATATATCTGCATAACTGCAGATGGTGATTTTAGGAATTACAAGACTGATATCCCTGTTTGCATGTTAATTTATGTAATTAGGTTAGTGTCTTACTGGAACTGTATTTAAAAGAAATGCTAAAGAAATGAAATTTAAAGAAAGTATTTTTTCATGGTGTAGTAAAATCACTTAAATCATAAACACTGCTCAACTATGACCCCTATAGGTTCAGTGCTCTTCCTAGACCCTCCAGTTTTGAAATCCTGGTTATTTGACTTCATAAACAATTTTAAAATTATTGGCTTTATTCACAATATGGAAAACCACTGTCAATCAAAACAAACAAACAAACAAACAAAAAACCCCAACAACCAACCAACCAACACCCCAAAACCCAAAGCTCCAAAAAACCCCCAAACTCCCAACCCTAGAAAATAAGCCAGTCTGCTAATCATAATGTGACATAGTTCCAGGAACCTACTGATGTTTGTACTGACTGAAAACTGGACTATTTTGCTTGGAATTTTTCTTTACCAGTAAGTAGTGGAAGAAAAGGAAAAGGAATTTTTTCCCTTTGCACAGACTTCTAGGCAGCTTATGCTGCTCACCATCTAAGAAGCTAGTGTTATTTTTTTTCTGTACCCTTCAGAAGTTCTAAAAACCCAGAATGGAGTATCACAACTGATGCTTGCACTTTGTAGGGTTTCCTAAATGCCAGTTAACTACTGAAGTATTTCTTGGCTTCTCAGATCTCTTTGGAACTCAAAAATGCTGAGACTGATCAGATCTACTCAGTATTAAATTAGACTCAGACTAATAACATCTTAAACTTTCCATGATAATGAACAACACATAAATATTTACACAGACAGGCCTATTACAAATATATTTCCTTTAACCACTCATTGTGTTAGATTTTCAGTTCTAAAATTAAGAGATTTATTTTTAACATATTTGTATATCTGAACACCCTAGATTCTTACTGACTGAATGCTAAGCAGCACATCACAATATATCTCATTTAAATTACATAATATATCTCATTTAAATTATATGGCTAACTTTTGATTCTCAAAAATGTTACGTATCTTGAAAATTATCAATATATCTGAACTACTCAAGATCTTTCTAAAGAAGTAGACATTGAATGGTTTTTTTTTGATTGCCTTTAAATCAGTTACAAGTAACATTAATAAACTTTTATGTAAGAAAAATCAATGAAATTACTAGATCTCCTGAAAAAAACAAGAAACAGCTTCAAGTATGGACCTGACTGCATGAAGAACCAACACTGTAGCCCCTAGAAGTGTTAAGGATTTTGGTGGGTATTCCAGCTCTACTCTGACCTCACACTGGGACAGAATCCAGGAACTGGTGTTTCCCTGAACTGTGTGCCCTCTTCTCTTTCCCCGCGCCCCCCTCCCCCCCCTTCCCCAGCTTTCCAATTTCTACAGGAAGTGAAATAAAGGAGTTGCAATGTGCCCTGACAGGTGTCCTGTTCTCCATGACATGGGGTTCAGGCCTTTAATAGGCACCACAGACATAGCTTTTAGTACACTAAATACACTCATGAATTTAAGCAAGCAAGCTCTACAAAACCCCACATGTTCCAGCAAACTTACTGTACCTCTACAATGAAGGCTTTTCTTTCAGATTCACTTTCTATTTGTTTAATGGCTACATCTTTAGCTCGCCATTTTGCCTTGCAGACCACACCAAAAGCTCCTCTTCCAACAACCTAGAACCAGATAATAAGAAACAATTGAGTTCAAAGTTGAAATGGTCTCATTTGCTGCACAGGACTTCATAAACAGAAAAGAAATTTACCTTAGAAAACTGAAAACACACAGAATCTTGTTTTGCAACAGCAATTTATTATTATGCTGTCAAAGCATAAATGAAGTTCAGCTAAGCTTCCTCCAGAGATCATTTACAGAAGAAATATGAAAACACAGATACAAACCATTTTGTTATTAGCATGCAGTAACAGTATTTCAGAAAAGCATTATATTAATTATTTCAAATAAGATCTGTTCAGAAGAAAATCAGGGGAATGATAGCAAATATAGTTTTATAGATTTACCAGTGAAATTTTATCTGTCATATTATTTTATGTTTGCTAGTAACAGAAATTAAAAATTCTGAGATTTAAATCCATATGCAAACAATTGCACAGGACTATGCTCAAGTCCAGATGAGGTGTTCAATGTGCTCAAAACTACCTGTTTTCTCACAGATGCCTCAACAGTGTAAGAACAGTAAATTTTCGTTAGAGTCCTCCAAATAAATACAGTGTCTGTATAAATGATGCTTTATTTTTGTTGATGTCTGCTTTCTAGTTTATTTGGAATTAACATTGACTAAAAATACACACAACCAGACAAGAAACCTAAGTCTTCACTGTAACTTCACAGAAGCAGTAGCTTCTCCATACTTTATCATTCAAAAATCCTTTAATGGGGAAAAGGTGGAGAGGAGGGAAAGGCAGAGAGAAGCGGAGGAAATGTGCAGAGAATAGGAGGAGGAAACAAAGCCACCCAAAGGCACAGATGAATCTAAGGAATAAAAGCTCCTCCAACTCCAAAAAATGCAAGACAAGGCAGATGAGAAGGAGAGGAGAGAAAAAGAAATAGACAAGGGTCTAGGGTTCTGTATTTGGCCTGGCAGCCTTTCTACACTGTTGCTTTTAACAGCATTTTGTGCTCACGTTCCTAGTCCTGGATATCAAATAGTATCATATGTATCCTGGAACAAAGTAGACACTTCTAATGAAGTAAAAACTTTTTGGGGAGGTGACTAAGAAACTTACAAATGTGATTACCATAGCAGTTTATTATGGCAAAATTTAATTTGATTGTCTTCCTCAAGCAGGCGATGCACACATATGAGTATTATTTTGGAAGGAAAAACACACTTTCCCAAAATTACAAAGCTCTTCACTAGAAAGTCAGTTATTTATGAGTTTTTTATCCAATAAAAAAGGGAAAAGATTTGGAGTGCGGAGGAAGGAGCAATTTTCAAAATTAAAATATAAAGATGCAATCATTAAAGGACCCATAAAATGTTCAAACACTGGATCCATATTATAAATAGTACACTGATTCTTCAAAGTTCACTACTGAATTCACCCTTTAGCAGGGTGGTTTCTCAAGAGAAAAGTATCATTTATAGGAGATCAGTGAATAAGCATACACATCCAATGCTGAAACAACGCAATCTGCCTGCAGCTCATCCCTTCAGGAAATAACATTTAATAATTTTATCGTGTTTTTTTTTAGATGGCCCCAAATATCGTAATCATCTGGAAGGTAAATGAAGAGTGCTGACCCAGGGAAGTCAACTTGGTAGCCAGGAATGTACAAGATTGTATCTGTCAAGGTTCCATGTCAAAGCAAGCTGACTATCATGTATGTAAACCATGCTTGGGTTAGGTTCTCACTACACCCTTTTTAATAGTGAAGCTGATTTCCCTTGAGAAGGGGGTAGATAAGGCTGTGGGTGCATAGCTCACGACCTGCTAAACACATTAAGGTCTGCAATCAAGGGCCAATTTGAAGAGGGCAAAATATACACATAAAAAAATAGTCAGGATTTTGCATTAAGAACTATGAGAAAAGAAGCACTCTCAATATTTTTGTAAGGTTACATATGGATATGAGAGACAGCTGCCCAGGAATGGTGATCAATGGCATTTTCCTCTTCTGGTTTCCCTAATACACACAAAGGATTTTTCTCTTTTACATTGTGCATCAGGCACTTAGCCTTTCAGGATCTCCTGGATTCTCACCCTCCCCAACAAGTGGTTCACATACTGAGTCCACCACAAGATACTCACAGCAGATACACAGAACATGCCCCATTCTGCCCCATGTAAAAAAGGACCTATTAATTGTAACCTTCTCCCCCAGCTATGATAGGGTCTTAGCTCTTAACATAATGAAACACAAACCAACTACTTTCTTGCTACAACTGAGATTGGAAACATCAACCCATATGACCAAGCCAAGCAGCCTACAAAAATAGCACATCTAAACAAATTGGAAACAGTGAGTCACCTGAAGGCGTAAAAGTCCCCAAGAGACTCCCTTGGTATTTCCTCTTCTCTCTCAGACCACATTTTAAACAATATTGCCCAATTTCTTCGGGCTGGCAGGCCCCCCACCTTCTTCTACTGGCACAGGAGAGTTGTGCATTATAACCCCTCTACACATCTCACACAGCACCATAACCAGACTTACAGTTTAAGAAAAATTTCATCAGTTTTGTGTCTGCTTTAAGTTTGCATTTCACAGAACTGAGCATGTGGAAATAATCCACTGTGCAGGCGTGTGTAACTCAGCCTGCTCACACCCTGAGAATGACTAAGGACAAACAATTAATGAGAGAAGGATGCCACAGAGCAACCTGGGCGGGATGAACTGCACTGGCAGCAGCAATTCTCAGGCATCTGCTCCCTTACAATACTGGGAAACCCAAACTAGTCAGGTAACAGGGAAGAACTCTTCCCACTACTTAAGGAAAAGGAGGCATGCATATGATGATTTGTCCTAGCTGGATACAATTGGCACAAGACTGACCGAGATTCATTTTACAAGGCTCCTTTGCTCCATCTGCCTTTTCTTTTTCATGATTTTTGACTATGGCACTCTTACATTTAATCAGTGATATTGAAAACAAATTGCTATTTGAAAATAGTGCATAATAGTCAGTTAAAAAAACTCAGATACATCTGATAAAATGTAATGAAGCAATCTGAAATGGCATACTGTTCCTCTGAAGATAAATCCATTACTGTTTGCAAGCTTAATATAAAAAACTGGTTAATGTATTTCCAGTTCTCATACTAGAAGAAACATTATTTTCCAATTTTGCCATATTTTAAAATATAATTTCTATTCAACGAAGAAAGTAAGATAAATGAATGTACCACTCAATGCAAAGTTTTACATTGTACCATGAATGTCACAGTATTTGTGCTTTAGTAGAAAAGTGGAATAAATTCCAAGAACCAGATGCACTTTATGAAGTCCTGATGATTACTGAAAAATATTAAAATAATAAAATCGGTGTCAGGCACCAACAGGAAGAGTTTACCAGGCAATTTGTGTCTTAATTATGTAAGATAAAGCTTTGAGAGACCATCAGATACATAAATTTAATGGCTGGTGAAAAGAGTTTGATAAATGACTATGCAGTCAAGGTTTCATAACAATTTATCAGTGACTTGGTGCCTGCTTAGGCAGAGGGCTGAACTTGAGAAGAGGACACGAATGCACTGAATATTTACCTAGGATACAGGGAAAACAGAGAAGAGCTGATCCTCCATTAAAGCAGCTCAGTCTCTTGGACAGCACATGAAAGGAGTAATCGTCAGAAGCAAGGACAATTCTGATACAAACCTAACATTTACCATATGTGAAAGCCCAATATGTTGTTCCTAGTTAATCTAGAAGTATCTTACTTGTAAAAACATCCTTTAGAATTGACAGAATAGTGCTTGTGGTGGATTCCACTTACATGTAATTTTGTTCCTTTCAGTTTTCACTGAACTTATCCTTTAAAGGAATGAGTCTTAGAATTTGTCAAAACAGGTTAAACACTATGTGGTTTCCTTCAACACTGTGTGCTGGAACTAAGTAACTTAATAGCACAGGAAGGAGGTGCTGCCTGAACTTCAGTTTCTTAATTCTCATTCCTTCTTGTCCCCTGCTGTTGGTGCCACACCATATGTTTGGGCAGCAGTGCATATTCTGAATTATATGAAGCACAGTTAATGGAATTATCGACACAACAATCAATAAACAGAAGTTGATCTGTAGCACTGTGTATGTTTGGAAAATAATCTAAAAATAAACACATTCTTTCAGTAAAAGATTTTATCCCTTTAAATATCTTCTAGGAGAAACAAGGAAAATATAGGGCAGATGACACATTCAGAAATAGAATACCAGTGCTACTACTTTTCGGCAGAATAGAATTAATTTTATCAAGAACCACTCAGTAGGTGGCACAGACACATTTTAAACTGGCAAAAATGCTTAAAGAGCTTTAAAGATTTAAAAGGATATGCAAATTGATTCCTCTCCCTGTAAAATTCATACCAGCAAAAAGTTTTACTGGTATGTTTTACTGCATGACAAAGTGACACAGTGAAAGAGAGTGCCATTTGCATGTTTTCCAGATAATGTATTTGGAGTTTTATTTAAAGAATATGAAGCATACAAGATCCCTGGAACAAACATTACCTCTGCCTCTGTGTACAAATAGTATCAAATGCTGTACATAAACAAAGATACATGATACTGACTTGTGAATATGTAGACTATATTGACTGTTAACTATGTAGACTAGAAATCATGCAGGAAACAGAGACTGCAGATATGTTAAGCCCTCAAGCATGCATTTTGTCCCAAGGGATGTGACCAACAATTTACCCTCTTCACAGTAAAACAAGAAAAATGTATCTCTGCTTATTCTGATGCACCTTATTCCCCTATCAAATGTCAAAACTTTCCAAGAATTTATTTCAACTTTGCATTAACTGCACAGGTTTTCTATCCACTCAAAAATATAAAGATAGAAAATTTTCACCTCTATTCATGAAACTTTCATGGTACTGCATGATGGATACCTAGTGCTTTTCCTTCTAAAAAAACCCACCTTGCTGGATATGTAAGACAGCAATAAAACGTAGCTCCCTGGGCAGTAGATGTAGTATTCTCTGAAGAATTCTCTTCATAATTTGCAGTATCTACATGACATGTTTGTTTACAGTTTTGGGAAGAAAAAAAAAAAACCCAACAAAACCCATGTTTCCAACCAGACAGCTTTCTCTAAATTATCTTCAGTATCTATTTCCCTTTCATTCTTGGTATATCTGCAAGTGAAAGAAGTGAAAGGTTTACTGAACTTTTGGATCTCTCAAGCTTCAGACACAAATACACAGCAGGAAAAGAATTCAAGAAATAAAAATAAAAATAAAAAAGGATGTTCTACAATGGTTAGTAAAAAGAGTATAGTAAATATAGTAAAAACTATATTTTTACATATCTTCTATTCTTTCCTTCTGCCAGAGTTCCAGCAGTACCAATAAAACATACCAATATTTTGAGTTTTCACACATCTGCCCATATGACACAAAGAAAGCATATAGATTAAAAAAAGAGAAGTACCAAGGAAGCTATGAACAACAGTTTACAGCCTCTAATAATATGTGTACATTTTCTATCATTCATTCAGCCAGCCTCAAATTCCAACTTTGGTTCCTCTGTGTGTGCTATGCTTTATTAAGCAGGTTGAAACGAATCGGCCCCATGCCACAAATGACTGTGGCCAATACCCTGGCAGCACTTTTAGGAAGGAGTTCAGATCTGCCAATTCTTACAGCTACATTCTTTGACTTGCTAAGTTTATTTGTACTGGTGCTCAACTCGATTCTAAATGTTGCTGTCCCCTTTCTGGGATTCATACAGCAATGACAAAACCTGAAAACAATCCCAGTAAGTTTTAAGTGAACTGAGTAATTTAGTTCAGATTTAGTTTCCAAGTTTCAACTTTAAAGTTACACAAAACACCAAAGGAAAAGAATATATCTCAATGGAAAGGTCAGTCATTAAAAAACAACTTTTATTAATAAATTACATAACTGCTGCTTGCCACAATCTAATACATTTGGTCCATATTTAGGGCATCATCTGTTGTAGCTGCACAACATTGTATAGTTAGGAGTGACTTGGCTATCTGAACTTAGATCTAAGAAATCATTCTCTTTTCAGCTTCTTCAGAACATGTTCATGGAGAATCAAAGTACCATCATGTATGTTTCTAAAATGACAGGTATTTTCAGAAATTCTTCCTTTGCTCTAAATACACAACCAACCATCTTTGCATTTTGATAGCTCAGTCCTTCTAAGAAATGCAGGCACCTCAAGCTAAGATAACAGTTTATCAGGTTATGCTTTCATTCCAGCTTTTTACATACTAATGGTCTTTTACACATCTGTCTCAAGAACTGAACTAATTTTAACTACAGTAACAAAAAATGTGAACAAAATACTTGTATTGATGTTATACTATGAATCAATCTGTTCTGTTACAGCAGTGAACAGGAGATTCTAGTTTTAGACACAAAATGCTGGGTAATGAGGCACTCAGGGTAAAGGACCACAACACTAGTTGGGTTTGTGGGGCTGGCACAGTCTAACATTACCCATCTTAAAAAATATAATAATTCAGCAGCCAGTAAATTACTGCTAGAATCTACTGGGTGGGATAAATAAGGGACAAATGAAGCTTGTTCTATAGTTTTAGGGTTTTTTCTTAGGGAAGAGCCTCCCCCCCAAGTTTCTGAGAGCAGTTATACCATCACTCAGTTGTGACCTTAGCTGCTGCATTAGACATGGAACTTTATATTATCTGATAAATAGACATCTTGCTTTCACCACTGGAATGGAAGAGCCTGTAAGGTTTCTTTCCCACGCATCCTTTATGAAATAAAATGATTCATTGAATAAGTCTGCATGTGTAGAAATAACTGTAAAGTCTAATATTAACACTTTAAGCAGCTTATTAGCCATCTTCTAACACTTGCTGCACACTAAATTTCACCCAGAGGACACTGGCATTGTGTAACTTCCACTATAAATTCACTCTCCAGCTGACACTTCAGCTATTTTCCTATCTAGATTAATGAAGAGAATCTTCCACAAACATAACTAACCAACATTTAAATAGTGATATGAATGAAATTAGAAATATATTTAGAGTAAAATCACAGAAAATTCTGGCACACATTTTCACTGTGGACTAATCTTTTGCCTTTGCTTCTGGATGTCTGGCTTTGGCCCCTGAAGGCTTACTGTCTGAAAAAGGTTTAGAAATTGTAGATGTGGCTGAGTTTAACCCAACTCCACACAACCACCCTTGGCTCTTGAGAACTAAGCCTTCTGTTCTCCTGTCAGATGTCCCAGAGTATTTTTCAGATTTCAAATCACGCCTGCAGTTCTTATCCAAACTTCTTCCAATTTTGCAGACTGGTATTCTACAACTGGACACAATCCTCCAGGGGGTAAAAACAACAGAGGCAGTAACAACTCAGCATTCAGCAGCACCTTATGCAAATCCACCTTAACTTGTAATATAATGGACATTATTGGTCACAGCACCTCATTAACTTTTTAAAACTTAACTACCATAAAGATGAGCAAAAACTAGTTGTCTCACTGCATTCCTCATTCTTGTCTCTGAACTGCTCTGTTCCATAATTGCAAGTACAGATCTCAGTATACTTTTGAAACGTTAATGAAGTTACTCAACTGTTGCAAAAATGTCTGAGGCAGGTGAACCTGCATCTTCTTAATTGTTGGCATCTTCAGTAGGTTTTCTAATACAAATATTTAGAAAGCTTACCTGTTCACCTTAATTCTGAGGGGACTGAGGGTAAACTCTTCTTTAACTACTGTTGCCCAAAGAGATTGTTGAAAATATACGTCAGTGTATCATACACTTTATTAATAGAGTGTTATAAACAATAGTTTTCAAATAAGTTCCACTCTCAGATTGTTCAAAAGTAACTTCTGACTACACAAACACAGTAATGATTTCCAACCTGGCTAAATGAGACAGTAACTGGGCAGGCCACAGCATACATGACCAGACATGCATCTTTTGGCTGTGCAATCGAAGGCATACACAAATCATGTGATGGAGAGGGCTCTGCTTTGGTCATGTATGGGACTGTTATCAAGTTACGTGATGGAGGAAGGGCTGTGGGATTTTCAGGAAAGAGTGGCAGGCAGCAGGTTGCCAGAACAACTGAAAACCAGTCTGTCCATTGCTCAGATGCGAAAGTTCCTCTGGGAAGAAGACACAGTAGTATTTAGGCTAGATTTAAACATGACATTTTAAAATAGGGCTGTTAAGCTTTCTACTGTTAACTTTATTTCAGTTATATTAAGTTTTCAGATAAATTCTGTAGTTTCATTTATTCAGTTTCTAATTATTTGCTTATCTAATAAGTGAAAACTTGAGACATTGTCACAGCCAAAAGTTTGCATGGTAGTGTAGGGAACATTTCTGTTGAACCCAAGTTTTCATTTGTTTCTCCCCTTCTGGTTTTGAAGATGCTCCCATAGTGTCACATAGATTTTAATTTGACTCCAACTAATTAATAATAATGATCTCTGTATTTTACTTCAATCTGAACACTTTAAATAATGAAAAGGCAGCTTGAAGTTGGAGACATGTTTGACTGGAGGGAAGTAACAGTACAGTAAGTCATGTGCATGGTAGCAAAACCAAAATATGGTATTTTCTTGATACTATAAAGTTCAGTCAAACCTAAATGAAAGAGCACTTATAGATCTTGCATTTATTAGCAAGGACTCAGGGCATGCAAGTATTCCAGAACTTCAATATCTATTAATAAACCAGTGGCAGAGTGGGACTGCTATCTGCTGACAAGACAGCCTTGATAATACAACAGCAAAGCTATGATTAAACAAGCATTCGAGTTCCCAGTGTAGATCTCTTGACACTCAGTTTTGAAACATCACAAGTTTGCCAAGCATTTTAAAATCTGACCATTTTGAGTTCTTACAGCCATGCAGAAACCCTTGAAAACTTCAGAGACTGATGAAGTGAGAGCACAGAAAATCCTCAGTAATGATGCATGTTTTGCTATGACTGCAAAGTTGACTGCATCAAAACTGCATCATGGATACGAGGTCAACCACATTTGAGAACAAAGACTAAGTATGATCTCTAATTCATCTGTTTTATTGCAAGGCAGATCTTGTGTCTTCCTTTGTGTGATGACATTTAGACTGTCTTCAGCACTATGGTATCCCCACTGCCTGTAAGAATTTCTGGTAGGACAGGTACACTGAGTGTAATGCAAAATGCTACAGCTGTTGTCATCAGATTTTCCCATGGGCAGAACACTTTATCAGAGCTCCCCTGTTTGTTTTGTCATCTCCAACAGAGATACTGCTTGGAGGATAATGCAACAACCACATTAAATAAAGCACAAATAACTGCTTAGGCATTTTCTCCATGTACATAGCTGTGTTGTATAGTCCTGTCTCAGCAGGTGCTAGGCAGGTATGTAGGATGCAGACAAGCTCCGAACACTCAACATTACAACAATAAATTCTAGTGACACCAATTACACACTATGCAGCTCTGCATTTCCTACATGTAAAATAGCAACATAATCCTTGCTAACAGCCTTCCCAAGGGTGTCTAAGGATTAAAGATTTCTGTAGCATTTTATTCATTCTAAGTACTATGTATAACATATTAGCTGTGCTAGTCACTTCTGTGAGCCACCACAGGACACCTTTTCATGATGGATAAACTCCTATCAACTTTATTTTCTTCTTTGGGTAAGAAAAGCCATTTCTCCCAAAGCATGTGATATGATCCCTGTCCATTAGTAAGTGTTGCAAAAAGGTCAGTGTCTTACCAAACACAAAAATACTTTCAGGTCCCGAACAATGTAACATTTTCTCACATTGGAACAGTTAAATACATAAGGAGAAGAGAAACAATTGGACCTACAGAGTAAAAAAAAAACTTAAAGATTACCATATTCATAGAATGGGGAAAAGTGAGTTTTTTGGGAAACACTATCTTCTGAGAATTCCTCATGTCTGCTATGGTGAAAGCCAAAATTACCACAACACTACATGAATACATGACCTCTGGTCTTCTATGAAAACACTGCAGATTTGATGTTCTGTGAACTCTCTCAGGCCACATGAGCCCAGTGTAGTAATTCTGAACAAACCAGAACCTAGCAAGTCTCTTTAAAAACATATGACACTGGTTGTCACATCTATGCAAGCTACTACACAAATCTAAATTCACTTCCACATAAACTCTTTAAGAAAAAGAGGGTAACTATGACTGGAGGAGAAAGATGTTTATCTACAAATAAAAGCACAAAGACCGTTTCAGCAGCCTTGGGTGGCTGTTGGGTCCAAGCTGGCCTCGTCAAAATCAGTATGGATCTGTGTGAAGGAACTTCATTCCTGTGGAGACATTAGCATGGGGGAAGAAAAAAATCCAACTGCAACAATATTTTTTTGTGAGATTCCGAGAGTTAAATAACACTGTGGTATAAACACACTTCGGAGCCGTTTAGTAAAGTACATAAGCTATCCTAGATCACAGCCATCCTACTTTTGCAGGGAATCCAGACATATGAAAAGTACGTAAGAAATTCCGTACTTTATCCATCCCACTCCACCCTCAAATAACTTAAGGCAGTAATTTTATTATTACACTTTCTACAGTAGAAGAAATACTTGCTTCCAACTATGCTGTATGACACTTCCTAGGTAACACGTACAGGTCACAAACCAAATGTTACAGATTCATGAATGCAACACCACCAGCCTGTGTTAAGAAAAAGTAATTTTAAAAAGTTCTCTAAGTCCTTATGTCTAAGAGAGCTGTAAGTTTACCAAATAATTAGCATTGGTACGAGGATTATATATACGATAATTCAGTAAGGTAGCAGAAAGAGAAAGCAGGGGCATGCAGACTACAAGAAACACCAGAATTAACATTCCTCTGTTGTGACAGCGTTTGACAACTGTCTTTGCCACCCATACCAAAGCAGGTGGCAAAATGGGAGGCGAAACTTTAGTTTTAAAGTCCTGAATTAACTTATCCCGCTTAGCCAAAACCGCGCAGTACAGCACCCAGCCCCAGGGCCGGTGTCAGGAAGCTGGCACCTCGGCTCCCAGCCACACCGCCTTTGTTCT